TTCCACCATTTTATCATAGGATGCGACATTACTGCGCATTAAGCATATTAACCTACGTAAAAACAACTTTGACACCCTGTAACTTTGAAACGGAGAATTTCCGAAACGAAAGGGTTTACAAAGGGTCATATCTGACCCATTAGAATATTTTAAGCCCAAAAAAATCAAGATTGTCGTAGCACCAACCATGCATCTCTTGTGAGGTTAAACCGTAATATAATTCAAAAGTTATTCAAAATTTAAGATTTTTTGAAATTAATCAAAAGAATCAAAAAGAAGCTCAAAAAATTCAATGCTAGCTATTTTGAAAGCCTCATGGCTAATCTCCAATTTAAAACGAACGAGGCGGATTAGAAAGGATTATTTTACATACGCAAGATCCTCTGATCCCTGGCTATCAATAAAGGTCAACTTTGAAAATATTGATCAATTATTAGACAATTAAACAAAGAATGAACATTTTGTAACATAATTTTTCCCATCTGGTTAGAAAATATGCATGTAGACATAACATAAAAAAACCTTTGATCGCCTTTTCCACATTGGATGGATTGTATGAGACTAGGTTACCAGTAGATCGTTCAAAAATACAAGTAAACGAGACACTTCAACAAATAAATTTGACTGAAATAAGTGCTTTTGATTACGATAATTGCGACGATCTTTTTATTTGGCTAGATGAGAGTGGATACAATATATTTTGGGGGAAATTCGTTCAGAGTAAGTACCTTTAACTTGGTAAATGAAAATTGAATTTAGCCTGAATTTTGAATTAAGTTAAGACCATTACCTTTTTAAATGCCTTTCAGCTGATAAAGTTGAAATCCATGAGCGTCGAGTGGCTGTTAATGTGACACATATTAACACATATAATATGATTCATGGATTCGCTTATGATTGGAAGAACCAAGCTATAATCTGGATTGATGACTATGGAATCAGCTCAAAAAGATTGTATTATGAGATGGAGGTATGTTTTGATTATTGTAACGAGCAGGTAATTTGATTTTTTAAGAAATCTAATTTTACTATTTTCTTACTCCAACTGAACAGCAACCTAAACTTTACCGTACTTTGGATCTTGATAAAGATTATCCTGAAGCCATCACTATCGATGTCAAGAAACGTTTAATCTTTTGGATGAATACTGGTGACGGTTTAGAAAGATCTATTAATTTACCGTACATCGAGCGAATAGATATAAGGGGTGAACCTAAAACCAAGAAAATAGTTGAAACGAACATCGTTCGTCCAGTTGGCTTAGCCATCGACACTAGACAGAAAAAAGTCTATTGGATGGATGGTTTAAATTTCCATAGTACGTTGAATTCGATCGGATATGATGGAACCAATCGTATCATTTTGCGTGAATATTTGCCTTACATAAATGAACTTATATCAATGGACATATTTTCAAATTATTTGTACTTCACTGATAAGATAAACAGTACAATCCAACGTATCAATATAAACAATGCAGTCAAAAAAGTTGATACATTGATATCTGTACCTAATGGGCCACCTACATGGATTAAAATAGTTAACCCTATGTCAATGTTCTGGGGGGAATTCTTCGTTTTCAGTTTCGAAGAAATGTGATGGAACACCTGATTGTAAAGATGGTTCCGATAAAAAATGTTTGCATCATTGATGTGATGAAAAGTTATTTAAATGTACAAATGGTAAATGTTTTCCCAAAAATTGGCTTTGTGATTCAGAAGATGATTGCGGTGACAAATCGGACGAAACTGTAAAGTCTCGGATCCACCTTCCAAGTTTCATCGATAAATCATTAAAATGTAATGGTATTACAGATTGTCCTGATGGATCAGACGAAAAAGAATGTGGTCATGATTGTTCAGAAAAGGAGTTTAGGTGTGACGATGGTACTTGCATTGATAAGTCATTCCGTTGTGATGAAGATATTGACTGTAAAGATAAAAGTGATGAGATTGGATCAAAAATCGTAAAACCAGTTAACCGATGTTATTTTCACTGTAATCCTTTAACCTTACAAACCCTTAGAATAAGAAATTTACCTCTTTTTTGACTAACTTTTGTCATGTTTTTTGATGAATGTTTTTTTTGAAATTTTACACAAAACATATTTTAATAAATCACAATTTAAATTTACTTTTACTGTACATTAACAGCTAGAAAGGAGTCGTTGACTTGACAGGATTGAAATTTAAAACATAAGTAAAGATAAATGATTTTGACTCAAAAATTGAATCAAAGTTTAAGGTTATTAATTAATGACTCGTTTATATTTGATTGAACTGAAAAAAACCGAGAGTCAAGATTTTGTATGAAGAGCTAGTGTCATCTATGAACAGAGACACAAGGTTTTTTAATCATTGTGTATAAAATGTTTGACACTTTTTTTGATCATTTATTTATTAGGGTTGATTAGCTGATGGGTTCATCATGATTAGAAGACGAAATTGTCTGAGAATTATTGTATTGCTAAATATCAGCTTGATTAAACGATTAAGGAGGATGTCAAAAATGGCCTACTAATATAATTTTTTCTAACATATTTTTTCCGATGCAGATTTGTATGTTGATTCCAAATATTCAATTAAAATTTTTATAGCACGCATAGTTTTCGAGATATAGGCCAAAAATGCTAAAATCCAAAATAAGCGCTGAAGCAAGCTGATTTTTTCTGCGCATATATATTGCTTCACGCGCAAGTCGATAGTCAAAAAAAAGTTCGAAAAAAATAGCCAAAGATGGATTTTTCTTAAAAAATTGTATTTTTCATATCCGTTCCAATAGTAAATCAACTAATAGGTTCTGAAGCAAGCTGATTTTTTCTGTGCACATGTATTTTAGCATAAATAAGCAGACGATGTTTGAATAATGTTGCTAAAAATAGCCAAACCTAGATTTTTCTTCGATAAACTGTATTTTTCATATCCGTTCCAATAGTAAATCAACTAATAGGTTCTGAAGCAAGCTGATTTTTTCTGTGCACATGTATTTTAGCATAAATAAGCAGACGATGTTTGAATAATGTTGCTAAAAATAGCCAAACCTAGATTTTTCTTCGATAAACTGTATTTTTCATATCCGTTCCAATAGTAAATCAACAGATAGGTTCTGAAGCAAGCTGATTTTTTCTGTGCACATGTATTTTAGCATAAATAAGCAGACGATGTTTGAATAATGTTGCTAAAAATAGCCAAACCTAGATTTTTCTTTGATAAACTGTATTTTTCATATACTTTCCAATAGTAAATCAACTAATAGGTTTTGAAGCAAGCTTATTTTTGGACGTATCCTATCGTTTCTGATGTAAGTTTTCATATTTTTCTATATATTTTAATCATTGTTTTAATTTGTGTTGTTTATTTTTCTCTTTTTTATATTAGTTTACTGTTGCCCGCGAGGTCACTTTTTCTGATGGCGTTATTGCCAATTATAACGTTTATTATTGCGATCCTGGTGAATATCGTGGTTATACTTATTTATTATGCTCTCATCATCTTAAATTCCGAGATGATTGGAAGGCTGGTTTTTTACGAGAGTTTCAGCAGTTGAATTCTGGACCCCATATTGGTTCCTTTATTTTCCATGTAAAATTGACTCTTCCTGGTGAGATTCCTTGTGATAAATTTGGTGCTTCCACTGATCGTGGCTTGGCTAGTGATAAGGCTTGTTTTCGCCTTTTTCGAGCTATTTGTCGAAAGTTTCCAGAATTTTTTATGGTAAGTGTTTTTATTTCCACTGGTTTAACCTAAGTCGGTGTTTACCTTATTTATTTCTTTTTGTTTTGGTCTGGTTGGTTTAGTCTAATCGACGTTTACCTTTAATATGTTTCTTCTATTTTTTCTTTATTTACAGCCTCGTTTCGTTATTGGGTATCCGAACTTTCGAGGACATTGTTTTGGCATTTCTGCAATTCTTTGCAACAGTTTATCGAAGAAAAATCTAGGTTTGGCTATTTTTAGCAACATTATTCAAACATCGTCTGCTTATTTATGCTAAAATACATGTGCACAGAAAAAATCAGCTTGCTTCAGAACCTATTAGTTGCGTTACTATTGGAAAGTATATGAAAAATACAGTTTATCGAAGAAAAATCTAGGTTTGGCTATTTTTAGCAACATTATTCAAACATCGTCTGCTTATTTATGCTAAAATACATGTGCACAGAAAAAATCAGCTTGCTTCAGAACCTATTAGTTGATTTACTATTGGAACGGATATGAAAAATACAATTTTTTAAGAAAAATCCATCTTTGGCTATTTTTTTCGAACTTTTTTTTGACTATCGACTTGCGCGTGAAGCAATATATATGCGCAGAAAAAATCAGCTTGCTTCAGCGCTTATTTTGGATTTTAGCATTTTTAGCCTATATCTCAAAAACTATGCGTGCTATAAAAAAATTCCAAATATTTGAAAACAGCATCAAAATTTACACCGGAAAAAATATGTTTGAAAAAAATTTAATAGTAGGCCATTTTGCCTATTCTTTTTGACATCCTCCTTTGCTTTGAATAGCAAAATTTTCTTCAATTTAGATTAGGTAATACAGTAAAGTGTAAGTTAAATCAATGATTGTTGACCAAATGATTTAAATTTTGACATGAAAACTGAAATAACATCATTGATTTGATATAAAAAAATGAAAATGAAATATCATGTGAGCCTTCAGTTTGATGGAAAAAGTAGATTTGTTAAACGAGTCAATATCTGATAGAGGACTGAAAAATGCTGACATTCGTATACATATTACTGTCATAAGATAATTGACGGCTCCGAACAAAGGGAATGGCGCGATTAAAGTAATTTTGCTTACCAATCAAGTTGATAAACACTCACATTGAAGAGTTTATTCCAAATTGCTGTAGATTATGTCTTGAAAACTCTTTCAATACAATCTTATTCATTTGGTGATAAAAAAGCTGAATTGAGCTTAAAATACAAAATCTGTAGCTTTTTAACGACAAATCAATATTTAATAGTGTCTAATAACATCAATCACCATGAAAGGACAAAACAAATCATGGAAAAGTTATTCATCATGTGTCAACTTTAACCATTGTTTATTAACATTTTTGGTCGTTATTTCATGTGTCAATTATTCCCATGGTTTTTGGGATTGGGTGCCTTTCTGGTCATCAGAAGAGGATGCTCGGCCAACTGTGATTTGTGATGCCGATGAGTTTAGTTGCGACTCGAAAAGGTTGTGTATTAAAACGGATTCGCTTTGTGATGGAGTCGATGATTGTGATGACAAATCAGATGAGCTTCCATGTGCAATAGCAGGTATTTTTCCTGACCATTTAGGTTGTAACAAAGGCGAATGCCCTCGATCATACAAACGAGACCCAATCCCACCTCTATGTGCTGTTGTTAACAATATTACCTGTGAATATTATATTAATATAACCTGTGTGAATAAATTATGGGACTTTAACCCATACAGATACGTCTTGCAAAATCTCATAATTTATCCAGAATGTAGAAATCACTGGACAAATGTACCTTTGATCGTCTTTTCAACACTGAATACCTTGCATCAGACTATTTTACCAGAAGATCGTTCAAAAATACATGTAAACAAGATGCGTCAATTGAATTTGAGTGGAATAAGTGCTTTTGATTACGATAGTTTCAACAATGCTGTAATTTGGTTAGATAAGAGTGAAAATAAGATATTTGTGGCACGATTTAACGTTTTTTCAGGTAAGAAACATTTAACTTGATACAAGAAAATTGAATTCAGGTTGAATTTCCAGTTAAATTAAGATTGTTACCTTTTTAAAGGATTAAATGAGATGAAAATCCATGAGCGTCAAGTAGCTGTTAATGGGACACATAAAATTCATGTATTCGCTTATGATTCGTTGAACAAAGTTATATTCTGGATTGATGACTATGGAATCAGATCACAAAATTTGCTTAAAATGTTCCGTAAGACACAAGTAAGTTTTAATTATTAAAAAGAGCAATTAATTTGATTCTTTAAGAAATTTAATTTGATTATTTTCTCAAGCCAATTGAACAGCAACCTAAACTTCTGCGTACTTTGGATCCTTCTTATGAAAGACCTGGATCTATCACTATCGATGTGAAGAAACAGTGCATCTTTTGGATGAATATTCCTGTCAATCCAGAAGTTCAACTTGCTACTCCTAAGTTCATCGAGCGAATCGATATAAGTGGTGAACCGAAAACCGAAAAAATAGTCAAAGGCGAGTTCGAACATTGGGATCTATACCCGGTTGGCTTAGCCATTGACACTAAAAACACCAAAGTCTATTGGATTGATGGTTTCGGAGGTACGGTAAACTCGGTTGGATATGATGGAACCAATCGTACCATTTTGTATGAAGATTTGTACACAACGTCTGAAGTTATATCAATGGACATATTTTCAAATTATTTGTACTTCACTGATGCGCGGCGAAGTATTAATAAAATCCATCGTATCAATATAAACAATGCAGTCAGTAAAGTTGATACTTTGGTATCTGTACCTAATGGCCCACCTACATGGGTTAAAATAATTGACCCGAGAGTACAATATACGAACTTTCCTCCCATTCTAAAGGGTGAAGCAAAAGTAGGGTCACAAATTAGTGATCGGTTTATCTTGCCTAAATTTTGAGCTTTATGTTTAGCCGAATATTCGAAAAGGTCAACAACTCCTAGACAAATGTGTGATTTCACCAAAATACGGACTAATATATCGAAAAAAATTGCCGAAAGCTCCGGCAAAAATCTTATGGTCGACTTGAAGAAAAAATTACGTAAAGTATCGAGAGATGGGCCATTTTCAATAATTAAATAACCAACTTGTAGCTTGATTTCAGCAATATCATTCGTTTAAAATCCATCGAATTGCCTGTTTTTATTATCTAATTATTAAATCTCAAAGTTTGTGGCCCTACTTTTGTTCCACCCTTTAGAATTATCGAAGTATAAAAGTGTCCGAATTTCTTCATTTAAATTGTAATGACCTTTCTTTTCCCTGTTCAAAGGAATTTGATTCATGTATTTAAGAGACTAATTAAAAATGGAATTTATTGCTCAAATGAATTTATCATTGCAAGAGACATGGAGGAAACTTATCTAAAGAAAAATGAAATTAAAAAATGAACTTATCCCAGAAGCAAGGAGTAGGAGTGATTCTGGTCTTAATGCAAAAAATCATGTACAATTATGAGGGAATGAATTATTATCGCTTTAATTTGGATTGATGACTATGGAGTCAGGTCAAAAATATTTTTGAAAAATTTCTTTGAGAATGACGTATGTTTTAAGTACCGGTATTAAATCGAGCAGTTGATTTGATTCTTCGATAAATTTAATTAAACTATTTTCTTACTTCAATTGAACAGCAGCCTAAACTTTACCGTACTTTGGATCCTTCTTATGATAGACCTGGAGCCATCACTATCGATGTCAAGAAACAATGCATCTTTTGGACAAATATTGGTGCCGATCCAAACAGACCTTTTGATTTTCCTGTGTACATTGAGCGACTCGATATAAGTGGTGAACCTAGAACTTAAAAAATGGTTGAAACGAACATCTTGCGTCCAGTTGGTTTAGTTTGTTAATATATTAAGTTGTTCCATTAGAAACCGGCCCCCTATTTTTTTATTTTATGAACGTTCTTCTTATGAGGGTGGGTTATTTTGTGAATTCAAGCCTAAGGTCTAAGTTTTATTTTACACGATAAAACTTCATCTTTTATTCAATCAGTACTTAGATCATGCCGTTTCGATTTTCTCGAATTTTCATGCTTCGCAATTCATTTTTCTCACACTTTTGCACGATCATGGATAGAATTCTAGTGCGATTGGAAATCATCCATGAACTTCAATGAATTGATTTGGCGAACATTTCCCCTAATCGACCCACACGCATAAGCTTAGTCGGTTAATCAACAGTGCGACGATTTCGCTCATCTTAGCCGTCGCGGCTGCCATATTTCATTTTGCACATTACTTTTTGGACTTGCGCTACTCTAAAAGCATCGAAGTGAATCGATTTCGGTAGATGATTATGAACTTAATCAGAAAACCAGTCATAAAAGCAAGCAAATTTACGCAAAAACTCTCTGATTTACATAAGTTAAGGAAAAAACCTGTTTGTCTTAAAAAATTATAGTGATAAAATTTTTACAAAAAAATATATTGAATCTAGAGTATATAAGCTACGAAACAGTATATAATAAAAGTCTGAGCGATCTCTGGTTGAAAAGTTATTAATGTTCAAAAATAGCCGGTTTCTAATGGAACAACTTAATAATAAAGCTTAGAAGCTCTTCAAATCTTTCATTTCATTTCAATTTGAATGATAATTTGTTTCTTATTCAATATTGCGTTTCTTTCATTGAAATTAACCTAAAATGTCTGTCGATTCGAAAATTAAAGTCAAGCAATCCTTAGTTTATATTTGTATTATTTAATAACTATAATTGTTATATTCAACAACTGCCAGAGCATTCACTCGTTTCCTAACATTTATGTAGGCACCGTTTTACTTCCACATGCGACTGAGGCTGCAATATCTATAAATGTTTCACCAAGGGATGAATACTCACAAATTTGTGTTTTTTATGCCGATCGTAACCTACTCTCAACTTGCTTCACTCTTTTCCTTGAAAAAAATTCAATAAAATCCTCTATCCTTCAATTAAACTTAGATTTCATTTTGTTCAGCTGTAGAATCACATTTTATATAAAGTTTTAGTTTTTCTCGGTGACAATGTTTTGTTTCATGAAAAATTTGAGTCATAAATATGGATTGAATTTATTGTATTCAGTGGAAACAAATTTAAGATGATTCATAATGAAAGAGCGGCTGTTTAAAAATAGTCGATTGAATTACATTGAGAAACCAAAAAGGTATTCTGGTTTAATGATAAATAATTAAAGATGATGCATAACTTGGTAATGTTTTAAATAAAAAACAGTTACAGGTAAATAATTGAGTCTAAGTTATCCGCTCTTTCTGGCTCTCGGGTTAATAGGGTTACGGGCTAAGGTTTACAAACAAAAAGTAATACATTTTACATGGTAAGGTAAAGTGAAATAAACAATAATCGAAGTGACCATTGTTCAACTTTAATTTCATCCTACTTTAATCAGGAGCAATTAAAGGTTTTTTTACATCATCTTGAATTAGTTTAACATCAATTTATTGGTGATCTTTAATGGGAAATTAGTGATTTGTGTGTTCAAGCAAAATAACGCAGTTGAATTGTTTGTTTGCAGTTCCAATCAGCTATCAATTATTTTCATTGAAATCAAATTGGTAAATAGTAATCATTCCTTCTCTGTGTTGGCCATACTTCTTTTACCACTGTTCATGGGATAAATGATGATAGAAAGCATTAAAAGACAAAAGGATAATTAATAGTAATTTGTTAAAGGTAATTAGTAGTAATTGCTTGTTATAAATAGTGATTGAATGTTTAATCTATTATATTGTATCAATGTTGTGCTTAAATAATAGAAAATAAACGCAATTTAAAGGAATGATGTAAATGGTGTAAAAGAGCGAAGATACAAAGGAATTGAAATTATGCAAATGATAAAACTAATCAAAGTGTTTAACCTTTTTTACACCTCATTCACCATCTTTTTCACCTTACTGTCCACAAATCTAACACATCCACCGAATCAACCACATCCTCACTTATAGAGACTTTTCTCAACAAAATTGTCCACCGCCCAAATCCAACAAATCGTTGACACTTTTCAAATATGATGGCGGTAAATAGTGCATGTGCTAGATTCGGGTGGTGGACAATCTTATAAAAATGTGGTGGCAAGAAAGCCACAGTCAAAGTGGTCGAAAATTTGGTACACAATTTTGAGATAGTCTCTTTGGAGAGTTACGATTTGGTTGATTTGATGATGATATGAGTAGTAGATATGATATACAGGCTGAAAGAGGAAGAGCTTATAAGGGAAAGAAGAGAAAAAAGAAACAGCGAGAGAAGCTAAAGAGAAAAATATGGGAAAAACTTATTATTTTTTATTGCCTTATAACTAAAAGGTAAGGTTGTAAAACTTTTTATCGAATGTTTTTCGCATTTAAAATAAACGTTTTTGACAAAAAGTTCTACAACTTTACCTTTCAGTTTTGCAAAAGATGAAGAAGGCAAAGAAAATGAAGCGAATGAAGAAGGTAAAGGTAAAGGTAAATAAGATGAAAAAAGAAAAGAGAAAGAAGGCAAAGAAAGCAAAGAAGGCAAAGAAGGATAAAATGAAAGAAAAGGAAGACGGATTGAAAGAAGAGAAAGATCAAGAGAAAGAAAAGAAAGACGAAGAGAGAGAAAATAAGGCAAACTTTTTTGTTTTTCATAAAACTTTTATTATCATTATTATCATAAACGATTGTAAAAAACTACGTCTACGACAATCTTCGGCGTTTGATAGCCCGATCAAAATTGTTGTAGTTGTAGTTCGAGTTGATACTGCCCTCGTTATCAGCATCGGTTTCGTAAGATTCGCTCCGTTAGTGTGAAGCTAAAGAAATAGAGGTTTAGGATGCAGAAGAGTATAACGCTTCTCCATACTCATCCCCTACAACGAATGCTGAGTCAACGAGGGCAGTGTAAACTTTGACATCATTATTTTCATCAAAATTTCCATTATTACCCTTTCCATCATCATCATTATCATTACGATCATAACCATCCAAGTCATCAATATAAGGTCGGCTTATGAAGGCTGTATGCAACACTTTTTTACTTCAAGAAGTAACAATACGGTTGTTGCGTAAGAATTATTTCGTTAGATTCACACTCACGGGGCGAATCTGACGAAACCGATGCTGATAACGAGGGCAGTATCAACTCGAACTCCGTCTACAACAATATTGATCGGGCTTCTTTCTCTTCGTCTTCCATTCCTTTCAATTTTTCCTTCTTTGCCTTCTTTCTCTTCAGTATCTTTTGCAAAACTAAAAGGTAAAGTTGTAGAACTTTTTGTCAAAAACGTCTATTTTAAACGCGAAAAACATTCGACAAAAAGTTTTACAACTCTACCTTTCATCAATTGTTAGAAAGCAATAAAACAAAAATAAGTTTATCCCTTTTCTTTTCTCTTTACCTTCTTTCCCCTAACCCAGTCCCGAGGTAACGCCAGTAACGAGTCGAGAGGCTCCTTCTCTTTCAGCCTGTATACTTACTACTGATATGTTTGTAAAAGTGGTAAATTTGGTGGAAAGAGGCGATCTCGTTAAAGCCTGTTGGATTATAAAAAGTTAATTGTCCATTACAAATTGTTTGCACCAAGAGTCGGCTCATAGTCCTAGGATTAAAAAACAATCACGAATAGAAACTTGTTTTTTTCTTCAACTAAATTTTCTCATGTCCAATAATTACATTGTATGTAAATTGTTACATGGTCCACATTTACATGTATATTAATAATATTAATAATAAAAATTTGAACTAAAACAGAAGAAAACTAGGAAACTTACAATTCAATGTAATGCGATTTGAATATAACTTACATAGGCTTTCGGTAAAACAAAAGTTTATAGGTTATAAGTAGAATTGTTAGGTTTAAAGTAATTTGTTTAAGGTTATCAACTAAATTGGGATCAACAGTTGATGCAAATATGGAGACACACACAAAGAAATGTGCAAGTAAAAGGCCAAAATTGAACGGAAACATAATAATTTCAGTAAAGATGTATTCTTACAGAAAAGGTGAAATGAATTTGGTTATAATGACTGCACTTTGCCTTAAAAATCTCATCAAATTGTAGATACCATTAAGATCCTCATTTCTAGCCAAAGATGTACGGCGAGCCCTTGAATAACGAAACAATTAATCTGATGAATAACGTTATGATGATTATTGAATTACCTGACGTTTGCTTATTTTCCATATTTCCTCAACACCAATGATATTTGGATAATTTTGAATGGTAAGTATTGAAATGTTTTTGTTCTTTCTTATTACCCATTCGCTATCAAATTGTTATATCTGTTTACAGTTTGTATGAAATGGAAAAAATTGATATTCAATTGCAGGACAATGTGCAAAAACTACAATTCTTAATAAATTACCGAATCTCCTGTTTACATCAACGGGGGTAAACAATCCAGAATATACAATCACAAGGATACCAAGTCGAAAATATGACAACAACAAATATGTGTGACAAGACAAAGCAACGTTACCACATGGTATTTCTAGCTGGAGAGTCTGATGATAAGCTAATCATCAAGGCGTTTGACAAACACTTTATGAAAATCGATGAAACATGATTTTTCAATCAAGTTCGGACTTCTGTATTCAGAAAACTGATAACGGATGGATATTTAGCTCGATGGGAAAGGTTGAATCCGTAATTGCTTAAGTTTCTAATAAATGTTATATTTTGTTGCCAATTTCTCAATTTTTGCTGCAAATGATGAAGTTTTTTAGCTACGCGAGTGAAAGGTGAGATTTATTTTTCAATTTGTTAATATTTTTATCTTTAATTCTAAATAAATTATCTCATTTGTCTTTTTTCAGACCAAAAAATGGAGATACTTTTGGTATCGTAGTAAGAAGTATGAGGGAACATCAAGCTGGTGTCAAGATGATCGATGGACAGGATATTATGTTGCTCTTGAAGAATGCAATTTGTATATTTACATAGATAAAGTTTAAAGATTGAAGGTTTTAATCTTGAAACTTCAGACAGAGAGAATCAAAACATGAGTTTCCGAGCGACAGAATTTTAACTTTAAAAAGCTAAACATTTTATGCGCTAGTTTATTCTTACATAAAGTCGATTTTAACAACAGGACTTGGCAAGGATGGTTTGATAGTGCCTTTTATATACAAAATCGTGAAATGAATACCTCGACAAAGAAATAATGATGATTGTGGGGCTTTTGTATGTCATTTTGCTGCGCTTTTGGTTTTCGAAAAATGACCAAATCAGAAAAATACAATATATAATATTTTCAGAAGGAGACTATAACGAGTCAAGTTTTATGTTGTTTTTTCTAGCTCATTTTATTATTAATATTTAATTCTGATTACATTGGAATTCATCATGATTTGCATTTTTCAAGAGGACACTATGGTCATAAGAACCAATCAAAGCAATTAAATAAAGAAGGAGAGGATTGAAGGGGTTATATTTACAAAATTATCTGATGTAAGTAATTTAGGTGCATCAAACCCCAGTTTGCCATAATTTAATAAAAAATTTTCTTCATATTTAAGTGATAATCCCGAAGTCGAAAGAAAGCACAGCAAGAAGCGAGCGCATCGCAAAGATGTTCAACCGAAGAAGAAAAAGAAGCTAGAAAACCAAGAAAATGATAGTTTGCTTCCAAATATGTAAGCTGTATTATATTTTTATATTATATGTATCGTTTGATGGATCTGATAAAGAACTGAAAAATGCTGACATTCGTAGACACATAACTGTCATTGGATAATTGACGGCTCCAAACAAAGGGAGTGCAGTGATTAAAGTAATTTTGCTTACCAATCAAAGTTGATAAACACTCACTTTGAAGAGTTTATTCCAAACTGCTGTAGATTTTGTCTTGAAAACTCTTTCAATACAATCTTATTCATTTGATGGTAAAAAAGATGAATTGAGCTTAAAATACAAAATCTGTAGCTTTTTAACGACAAATCAATATTTAAAAGTGTCTAATAACACCAATCGCCATGAAAGGACAAAACACATCGAGTAAACGTTATTCATCATTTGTCACTATTAACCATTGTTTAGTAACATTCTTGGTCATTGTTTTATCCATCAATCGTTCCCATGCTTTTCGGTTCTGGTGGACTGGACCAGAGCCTGTCGCTTCCACCACTGAGCCACCAGAAGAGATGACATCTTCTACTGGCGAATATTACACTCCACCTCCATTCGATTATTCTAGAGTTATCACCGTTAACAGAACTTACAAAGTTAATTGGTCCACTGAACTTCCTAAACTTTTTGACACGACTCCACCTTATCTCACTGCGACACCAGAAGGAGTTCAAAAGACATTTGAAGTTTCTGGTGAATTGGTTTCTCCAAATGATGATACCACTAGACCATCAGTGAATCACTGGCCAACTTATCCACCGTTTACCACTGACAAGGCACCAGAGGAAAATACACAGATATTTGGAGATGCTGGCAGAAGCAATGAGTCTCCTCCTGAAGCTGTTAACGATAAGTTAACACAAGAGCCTCGCTCGCAATTTGTGCATCGTTATTTTTGTAAATGTTATGAAGGGATTTGTACTATTTATAATGACAATCGTGCAATGACCTCCACAACTTTTCCCACTGAGACAACCGTAAAAAATCTTGAGATATACAGCAATTCATCTACTGAAGACGTTACTCATATGCTTAGCCCAGATTCGATCAGGTTACCTGAAATATTAACTAGTACCAGCCCTACTGAATCTACAGTTCAATCTCAAACCTCTTACGACGTTTTGGTGCCAACTTCAACAGAAGGTGATCCAAAGATATTTGAAGATGTTACCCCTGAACCTTCAGTAGAGAATCCCTGGCCAACTGTGAATTGTCACGCCGATGAGTTTAGTTGCCACTCGAAAAGGTTGTGTATTAAACCGCATTTGGTTTGTGATGGAATCAATGATTGTGATGATGGATCAGATGAGCTTATGTGTGATAGTAGGCTGCAAATTTTAAGTTCAGATTTTATTTGCGGGAATGATGACTGTATTCAGTCATACGACCCTGACCAAAGTCCATCTGCCTGTGGTCAATGGGATTTTGGAAATATTCATGTAGCATGTAAATATAAGAATGAAAAAGTACCTTCGGTCGTCTTTTCCTCACTGAATGCCTTGTACGAGACTATTGTACCAAAAAATGAATCAAAAATACATGCAAACAAGGCAATTCGATTTGATTTGAGTGGAATAAGTGCTTTTCATTACGTAAATAACTACGATATTTTAATTTGGTTAGATACAAGTAAAAACAAGATATATTGGACAACATTTTGGCCAAGTAAGTAACCTTTAACTTGATAAAAGAAAATTGAATTTAGGTTGAATTTTGAAAAAAGTTAAGACCATTAGCTTTTTAAAGGCTTAAGAAAAATTGGCGGATTGGAAATCTTGAACCATCAAGTATCTATTAATGGGACACATCAAATTCATGGATTTGTTTATGATTGGGAGAACAACGCCTTAATTTGGGTTGATGACTATGGAATCAGATCAGATGAACTGTATATAGAATCTTTCATAAATGTATGTTTTAAATAACAAAACGAGCAATTACTTTGATTCTTCAAGACACTTATTCAACTATTTTTCTAACTCCGACTGAACAGCAAACTAAAATTTACCGTACTTTGGATCCTTCTTATGATAGACTTGGATCTATCACTATCGATGTAAAAAACAGTTCATCTTCTGGACAAATGTTGGTGTTGGTCCAAATAGATCTAATTTCATCGAGCAAATCGATATAAGTGGCGAACCTAGAACCGAGAAAATAGTTGAAACGAACATCTTGCGTCCAGTTGGTTTAGCCATTGACACTGAAAACACCAAAGTCTATTGGATTGATGGCTTATATGGCACGTTGGAATCGGTCGGATATGATGGAACCAATCGTATCATTTTGTATGAATCTTTACCCTTCATAGATGAACTTATATCAATGGACATATTTTCAAATTATTTGTACTTCACTGATAAGATAAACAGTACAATCCAACGTATCAATATAAACAATGCAGTCAAAAAAGTCGATACATTGGTATCAGTACGAAATGGTCCACCTACATGGGTTAAAATAATTGATCCGAGAGTACGATTTTCAAGTTCAGATAATGGACCCTAAATGGACTGATCTTAAAGTGATAAACCAAATCGACAGCTGTGATTAACGTCCAATTACCTCTAGTTTTTGTATTCAACTTCAACTTGTCCATTAGAGATTCCGATTTTCAATGTAATTTCCTAACTGATTCATTTTAAATGTGATATTTTGATTCCTTCTCAGTGGTCACCATTAATCAAGCTCATTCTCACAGAAAATAATCTTGAATAAAGGGGAAACAAAGATATGGACCGGTCAAATTTTTCGGGTATCGCAGGTCAAAATGGCACCTGCGCAAAAAAAAGTCATTTTCAGACCCAATGTTATTCAATGAGGCTTTCATAGACAGATTTCTGAGATACTATGCACATTTTTCAGTCCAGAATAACTCCATAGGCTTTTCTTGCCCCTGGCACCTATTGAGTAGCAGAATAATACTGCTCCATCACATCAATGCTTTATTTTTCAATTTGCTCGAATTCGCGCATGATGAAGTGTCCTATTCAATCGGCTATAAATTGCTTTTATCAGAACGCAATGACAAAATTATTTCAGAACATTGGCAAGTGACTAACAAAGTTTGTAAAACAGTGCAAAAAACTTAAAAATATCTGTACAGTCGAAAAAGATAGAACAAAAACCCGTACGACGCCCGAAAATTGTACCTTCATTTCGCGCAGGCGCAATTTTGACCTGCGATACCCGAAAAATTTGACCGGTCCATATCTTTGTTTCCCCTTTATTCAAGATTATTTTCTGTGAGAATGAGCTTGATTGACGAAAAAATAAAAAAGTTATTCAAAAAATACAGGCTGACATGTATTGTGGCGGACCCTGTAATTTCCTAACTGATTCATTTTAAATGTGATATTTTGATTCCTTCTCAGTGGTCACCATTAACCGGACTTTTTTCATTATGAATAATCAACTTTATTCATCTCCCACCTTCTCAAGGAACACATTGGACCAAAATCGTAAAACCAGTTATTTTCACTGTAATCCTTTAACCTCACAAACCATTAGAATAAGAAATTTACCTCTTTTTGACCAACTTTTGTCATGTTTTTGATGAATGTTTTTTTTGGAAATTTTACACAAAACATATTTTAATAAGCAATAAAGTATTATTAATATTTAAACTGAGTCACAATTTGAATTTACTTTTACTGTACATTAACAGCTATAAAGGAGCCGTTGACTTGACAGGATTGAAATTTAAAACATATTTAAAAATGAATGAAATTGACTCGGGATTTTAATCAAAGTTTTAGGTTATTAATTAATGACTGGCTTATATTTGATTGAACTGAAAAAACCGAGAGTCAAGATTTGTATGAAGACTAGTTTCATCTATGAACAGAGGAACAAAGTTTTTTAATCATTGTGTATTTATTAAATAAATTTTATTTATTTATTTATGAGGGTTGACTAGCTGATATTTTCTTTATGATTAGAAGACGGAGTCATCTGAATATCTTTTTTGCTTGAAATATTGACTTGATTAAACGATCAACTTTAAATTTTTATGATTAAATTTTCGTCAATTAGATCAGTGAATAAGTTAAATCAATAATTGTTGACCAAATGATTTAAATCTCGACATGAAAACTAAAATAAAGGGTTTTGAGGTTCATTTCTACCAAAACTGAGGGAACAGTTATCATCATTTTCATCTTAATCTTAAGGTAATCTTATATTTCTTACCTCCGATTCTGGTAGCAATAAACCTCAACATTGATTTGATACACAAAATGAAAATGAAATCTCATGTAGAGCCTGAGACAGATTTCTTAAACGCGTCAATATCTGATAGAAGACTGAAAAATGCTGACTTTCGTATACATATTACTGTCATTGGATAATTGACGGCTCCGAACAAAGGGAATGCAGTGATAAAAGTAATTTTGCTTACCAATCAAAGTTGATAAACACTCACATTGAAGAGTTTATTCCAAAAGGTTGTAGATTATGTTTTGAAAACTCTTTCAATACAATCTTATTCATTTCGTGATAAAAATGAGCTTAAAATACAAAATCTGTGGCTTTTCAACGACAAATCAATATTTAACAGTGTCTAATAACATCAATCACCATGAAAGGACAAAAATTATCATGGAAACGTTATTCATCATGTGTCACCTTAAATCATTGTTTATTAACATTTTTGATCGTTATTTCATGTGTCAATTATTCCCATGGTTTTTGGGATTGGGTGCCTTTCTGGTCATCACAGCAGGATGCTCGGCCAACGTCGATTTGTGGTGTCGGTGAGTTTAGTTGCCACTCGAAAACGTGGTGTTTTAAATCGAACCGGATTTGTAATGGATTCAATGATTGTTGGGATGGATCAGATGAGCTCATATGTCCAAATAAAACTTCAATAATTTATCCAGCTTTAAATTGTATGGGTGGCGAATGTCCTTTGTCATACATAAATAAAGAGATTTCACCTCTCTGTGATTTTTGGGATGATAGAAATGTAGCATGTAAACATCACAAAGGAAAACCTTTGATCGCCTTTTCCACATTAAATGCCTTGTATGAGACTAGGTTACCAGTAGATCGTTCAAAAATACAAGTAAACGCGACACTCCAACAAATAAATTTGACTGAAATAAGTGCTTTTGATTACGATAATTTGGACGATCTTTTGATTTGGTTAGATAATCGTGATGACAAGATATTTTGGGGAAAATTCGTTCAGAGTAAGTAACCTTTAACTTGATAAATGAAAATTGAATTTAGCCTGAATTTTGAATTAAGTTAAGACCATTACCTTTTTAAATGTCTTTCAGCTGATAAAGTTGAAATGCTTGGCAGTCAAGTAACTGTTAATGGGATAAATATGATTTTTGGATTCGCTTATGATTGGAAGTACCAAGCTATAATCTGGATAGATAGATATGGAATCCGCTCAAAAAGATTGTATTATGAGATGGAGGTATGTTTTGATTATTGTAACGGGCAGTTAATTTGATTCTTTAAGAAATCTAATTTTACTATTTTCTCACTCCAACTGAACAGCAACCTAAGCTTTACCGTACTTTGGATCTTGATTATGATTACCCTGGATGTATCACTATCGATGTCAAGAAACGTTTAATCTTTTGGACAAGTATTGGTTCCGATCCAGGCAGAGTTATTGATTATCCTAAGTTCATCGAGCGAATCGATATAAGTGGTGAACCTGAAACCAAAAAAATAGTTGAAACGAACATCTTTAGTCCAGTTGGCTTAGCCCTCGACACTAGACAAAAAAAAGTCTATTGGTTTGATGAAGTATTTGGTACGATGGAATCGGCCGGATATGATGGAACCAATCGTATCATTTTGTATAGATCTTTGCCCTTCATAGGTAATCGCATATCAATGGACATATTTTCAAATTATTTGTACTTCACTGATAAGGTAAACAGTAAAATCCATCGAATCAATATAAACAGTGCAGTCAGTAAAGTTGATACATTGATATCGGTACCTAATGGTCCACCTACATGGATTAAAATAGTTAACCCTATGTCAATGTTGGGGGAATACTTGTATTTCAGTTTCGAAGAAATGTGATGGAACTCCTTTATTGTAAAGATAGTTCCGATAAAAAATGTTTGCATCATGGATGTGATGAAAAGTTATTTAAATGTACAAATGGTAAATGTATTCCCAAAAATTGGCTTTGTGATTCAGAAGATGATTGCAGTGACAAATCAGACGAAACTGTAAAGTCTCGGATCCACCTTCCAAGTTTCATCGATAAATCGTTAAAATGTAATGATATTATAGATTGTCCTGATGGATCAGACGAAAAAGAATATGGCCATGAATCTTCAGAAAAGGAGTTTAGGTGTGACGATGGTACTTGCATTGACAATCATTCCGTTTTGATCAAGAGTTTGACTGTAAAGATAAAAGTGATGAGATTGGACCAAAATCGTAAACCAGTTAACCGATGTTATTATCACTGTAATCCTTTAACCTTACAAATCATTAGAATAAAAAATTTACCTATTTTTGACCAAATTTTTCATGTTTTTTGATGAATGGCTTTTTTGAAATTTTACCCAAAAAATATTTAAATAAGCAATAAAATATTATTATAGTTAAACTAAATAACAATTTGAATTTATTTTACTGTACTATCTACCATTTACAGCTAGAAAGGAGTCGTTGGCTTGACAAGGTTGAAATTTAAAACATATGTAAAGATAAATGAGTTTGACTCAAAAATTTAATCAAAGTTTAAGGTTAATTAATGACTGGCTTATATTTGATTGAACTCAAAAAAACCGAGAGTCAAGATTTTATATGAAAAGCTAGTGTCATCTATGAACAGAGGAACAAAGTTTTTTAATAATTGTGTATATCAATGTTTGACACTTTTTTTGATCATTTATTTATGAGGGTTGATTAGCTGATGTGTTCATCATGATAAGAAGACGAAATTGTCTGAGAATTATTGTATTGCTTGAAATATCAGCTTGATTAAACGATTAATTTTGCTTTGAATAGCAGAATTTTCTTCAATTAGATTAGGTAATACAGTTAAGTGTAAGTTAAATCAATGATTGTTGACCAAATGATTTAAATTTTGACATGAAAACTGAAATGACATCATTGGTTTGATATAAAAAAATGAAAATGAAATATCATGTGAGCCTTCAGTTTGATGGAAAAAGTAGATTTCTTAAACGAGTCAATATCTGATAGAGGACTGCAAAATGCTGACTTTCGTATACATATTGCTGTCATTGGATAATTGACGGCTCCGAACAAAGGTAATGGCGCGATTTAAGTAATTTTGCTTACCAATCAAGTTGATAAACACTCACATTGAAGAGTTTATTCCAAATTGCTGTAGATTTTGTCTTGAAAACTCTTTCAATACAATCTTATTCATTTGGTGATAAAAATGAGCTTAAAATACAAAATCTGTGGCTTTTCAACGACAAATCAATATTTAACAGTGTCTAATAACATCAATCACCATGAAAGGACAAAAATTATCATGGAAACGTTATTCATCATGTGTCACCTTAAATCATTGTTTATTAACATTTTTGATCGTTATTTCATGTGTCAATTATTCCCATGGTTTTTGGGATTGGGTGCCTTTCTGGTCATCAGAAGAGGATGCTCGTCCAACTGTGATTTGTGATGCCGATGAGTTTAGTTGCGACTCGAAAAGGTTGTGTATTAAATGGTTTTCGCTTTGTGACAAACTCGTTGATTGTGATGACAAATCAGATGAGCTTCTATGTGAAAGAGTAGGTTATCTTCCTGAACATTTAGGTTGTAACAAAGGCGAATGCCCTCGATCATACAAACGAGACCCAACTCCACCTCAATGTACTGATGTTAAAAATATAGAATGTAGACATCACAGGGAAAATGTACCTTTGCTCGTCTTTTCAACACTGAATACCTTGCATGAGACTAGTTTACCAGAAGATCGTTCAAAAATACATGTGAACAAGATACGTCAATTAAATTTGAGTGGAATAAGTGCTTTTGATTACGATAATTTCAACGATGCTGTAATTTGGTTAGATAAGAGTGAAAATAAGATATTCGTGGCACGATTTAACGTTAGCCCAGGTAAGAGACATTTAACTTGATACAAGAAAATTGAATTCAGGTTGAATTTCCAGTTAAATTAAGATTGTTACCTTTTTAAAGGATTAGATGAGATGAAAATCCATGAGCGTCAAGTAGCTGTTAATGGGACACATAAAATTCATGTATTTGTTTATGATTCGTTGAACAAAGTTATATTCTGGATTGATGACTATGGAATCAGATCAGAAAATTTGCTTAAAATGTTCCGTAAGACACAAGTAAGTTTTAATTATTAAAAAGAGCAGTTCAATTGATTTTAAAAAGTTTAATTTGATTATCTTCTTAAGCAAATTGAACAGCAACCTAAACTTCTGCGTACTTTGGATCCTTCTTATGAAAGACCTGGATCTATCACTATCGATGTCAAGAAACAGTGCATCTTTTGGATGAATATTCCTGTCAATCCAGACAGGCCTTTTGCTACTCCTATATTCATCGAGCGAATCGATATAAGTGATGAACCGAAAACCGAAAAAATAGTCAAAGGCGAGTTCGAACCCAAATGGAACTACCCGCTTGGCTTAGCCATTGACACTAAAAACACCAAAGTCTATTGGATTGATTTAAGGGGTACGGTAAACTCGGTTGGATATGATGGAACCAATCGTATCATTTGGTATAGAAATTTAAACCGAACGTTTGAACTTATATCAATGGACATATTTTCAAATTATTTGTACTTCACTGATAAACCGCGAAGTAAAATCCATCGTATCAATTTAAACAATGGAGTCAGTAAAGCTGATACTTTGGTATCTGTACCTAATGACCCACCTACACGGATTAAAATAGTTGACCCGAGAGTACAATTTACGAACTTTGCTCCCATTCTAAAGGGTGGAGCAAAAGCAGAGTCACAAATTATTGATCCGATTATCTTGCCTGAATTTTGGCCACGTTAAGCTGAATACTCGAAAAGGTCAACAACTCTTAGACAAATGTGTGATTTCACCAAAATACGGACTAATATATCGAAAAAAATTGCCGAAAGCTCCGGCAAAAATCTTATGTTCGACTTGAAGAAAAATTACGTGAAGTATCGAGAGATGGGCCATTTTCAATAATTAAATAACCAACTTGTAGCTTGATTTCAGCAATATCATTCAATAAAAATCCATCGAATTGCCTGTTTTCATTATCTTATTATTATTAATAAATCTTCATTTACATTGTAATGACCTTTCTTTTCCCTGCTCAAAGGAATTTGATTCATGTATTTAAGAGACTAATTAAAAATGAAATTTATTGCTCAAATGGATTGATCATTGCAAGAGATATGGAGGAATCTTATCTAAAGAAAAATGAAGTTAAATAAAATGAACTTATCCCAGAAGCAAGGAATAGTGTGATTCTGTTCTTAATGCAAAAAATCATGTATGATTATGATGGAATGAATTATTATCGCTTTAATTTGGATTGATGACTATGGAGTCAGATCAAAAAGATTTTTGAAAAATTTCTTGAAGAATGACGTATGTTTTAAGTACCGGTATTAAAACGAGCAGTTAATTTGATTCTTCGATAAATTTAATTAAACTATTTTCTTACTTCAATTGAACAGCAAACTAAACTTTACCGTACTTTGGATCCTTCTTATGATAGACCTGGATCTATCACTATCGAAGTGAAGAAACGTTTCATCTTTTGGACAAATATTGGTGCCGATCCAAACAGACCTTTTGATTTTCCTAAGTTCATCGAGCGAATCGATATAACCGATGGTGAACCGAAAACCCAAAAGATAGTTGAAACGAACATCTTGCGTCCAGTTGGTTTAGTTTGTTAATATAATAAACCTTAGAAGCTCTTCAAATCTTTCATTTCATTTCAACTTGAATGATAATTTGTTTCTATTCAATATTGCGTTTCTTTCATTGAAATTAACATGGTTTGTAGGGAAATGAAAACTTAATCTATTTGTGTGATTCATTACAATTGAAAATTATTATAAAATTTCTCTGATGAAAAGTTCACGACATAATTCACGACAAAGTTAAAACTTCGATCAGAAGTAACCCAAACTTAGTAAGTTATGTAAACCGTTAATCCAAGTTCCTTAGCTGATCATGCAGTCAACACTGTCCCAATGCAGCCTCAACCTTTTGTTGCTGATCAATTTCGGGTTGCAGTTCAGTCTCCAGTTCCAATTCCTATTCCAATTCGTATGCCTGTTCCTATGCCTGTGCATGGCCAAGTCCCAGTTCCAGTTCAGGTTCCACCACCACCTCATCATCATCACCATTTCCAATTTTCGCTTTTATTCATTACAAAATGAATATTATTAATATGGCAAAGTGTAAAGCATTTAACTTTTGTACTTCGCATTCTGAAAATTGTGTTTTTTATGCCGATCGTAACCTACTCTCAACTTACTTCACTCTTTTCTTTGAAAAAAATTCAATAAAATCCTCTTTCCTTCAATTAAACTTAGATTTTGTGCAGCTGTCGAATCACATTTTATATAAAGTTTTAGTTTTTCTCATTGACAATGTTTTGTTTCATGAAAAATTTGAGTCATAAATATGGATTGAATTTATTGTATTCAGTGGAAACAAATTTAAGATGATTCATAATGAAAGAGCGGCTGTTTAAAAATAGTCGATTGATAGTTACATTGAGAAACCAAAAAGGTATTCTGGTTTAATGATAAATAATTAAAGATGATGCATAACTTGGTAATGTTTTAAATAAAAAACAGTTACAGGTAAATAATTGAATCTAAGTTATCCGCTCTTTCTGGCTCTCAGGTTAATAGGGTTACGGGTTTAAGGTTTACAAACAAAAAGTAATACATTTTACATGGTAAGGTAAAGTGAAATAAACAATAATCGAAGTGACCATTGTCCTACTTTAATCAGGAGCAATTAAAGGTTTTTTTACATCATCTTGAATTAGTTTAACATCAATTTATTGGTGATCTTTAATGGGAAATTAGTGATTTGTGTGTTCAAGCAAAATAACGCAGTTGAATTGTTTGTTTGCAGTTCCAATCAGCTATCAATTATTTTCATTGAAATCAAATTGGTAAATAGTAATCATTCCTTCTCTGTGTTGGCCATACTTCTTTTACCACTTTTCATGGGATAAATGATGATTGAAAGCATTAAAAGACAAAAGGATAATTAATAGTAATTTGTTAAAGGTAATTAGTAGAAATTGCTTGTTATAAATAGTAATTGAATGTTTAATCTATTATATTGTATCAATGTTGTGCTTAAATAATAGAAAATAAACGCAATTTAAAGGAATGATGTTAATGGTATAAAAGAGCGAAGATACAAAGGAATTGAAATTATGCAAATGATAAAACTAATCATAATGGTTAACCTTTTTTACACCTCATTCACCTATTTTTCACCGTACTGTCCACCATATTATCCACAAATCTAACACATCCACCGAATCAACCACATCGTCACTTAAAGCGACTTTTCTCAACGAAACCGTTCATGACTTTTCAAATATGATGACGATTAATAGTGGATTAATTAATATTGGATTTGCTAGATTCGGGTGGTGCCCAATCTTTTAAAAAATGTGGTGAAAAAAGCCGCTCTGGTCGACAATTTGGTACACAATTTTGAGATAGTCTCTTTGAAAAGTGACGATTTGGTTGATTTGGTGGTGGGCAATATGTTGGATAAAAGTGGTGGTGGAAAAAGGTGATCTCCTGAAAGCCTGTTGGATTATTAAAAGTTAACTGTTCATTGAATATTGTTTGCACTAAAAGTCGGCTCATAGTCCTAAGATTGAAAAACAACCGCGAATAGAAACTTGTTTTTGTCTTCAATTAATTTTTCTCATGTCCAATGAATATTAATAATAAGAATTTGAACTAAAACTATACAAAAACTAGAAAATTTGCCCTACAATGAAATGCGATTTGAATGTAACTAACATAGGCATAGACAACATAGACTAACTAACACAAGTTTACTGTTTATAAGTAGACTGGTTAGGTTTAAAGCTAACTAAATTCAACCAAAGTCAACTAAATTGGGATGAACAGTTGGCGTAAGCAAAAACACGAAGAAACACAAAAGAAATGTGCAAGTAAAAGGTCAAAATTGAACGGAAAAATAATAATTTCAGTAAAGATTCATTCTTACAGAAAAGGTGAATTAAAGTTGGTTCCAATGACTTTACTTTGCCTTAAATATCTCATCAAATTGTAGATACCATTAAGATCCTCATTTCCAGCCAAAGACGTTCGGCGAGCCCTTAAATAACGAAACAATTAATCTTTATCTCGATTTACAAATGAAAAGACAAAATTAAACAAAATTAAACTTACAATTGAAGGCAATCACCATTTTCACAGATCCTCATGACTTGAGCTGATGGTTGATCATTGAATGAAGTAACAATCAAAAAGATGATTAAAATATAGCCAAATGGCATAGTTATTTTGCTCATATTTGAATTCATATTAATTGACGATGTTGACCAGATTTGAAACAATCAGTAAATTTGGTTATTTGGCTATTCAAAGTACAATATTTAAAATAATTGAGAGTAAGTAATTTGTCGAGGAAACGAAAAAATTCAATATTGAAGTTTCACTGAAACAGGTTCGAGAAATGAAGAGTTGGCTGAATACACTGATTTACAACTGTAAGATAACTTGATCAAGTAATCACTAGATTAATACGAGTTGCTCATTTTGTAAGATTGCTCATGTTTTCATCATTTTCCTTGTTTTACTGAATAATCTTGAATTTTCATTAAAACCAAATATTCTGATGGCAAAGGTGGAGCTTAAAGGTGATTACATCTGTTATCATTATGATTATTAAAAAAAGGTAAGCCTGATTTTTGCCTAAATTTAATAAAGATGAAAAAAGGGTTCACACAGACAAATTAAACATCAACATTTTTGAAAGGTTAAACAGTTTGTGGGTTCATTTTAATCTGATTAGTATTGTGTTTAAGCTTCTGGTTATTCAGTAAATCTTTCAATCTTTCACCAAATTTGATATGAATTTTTATTTATTCAAAATAAACAAATTACAATTCAAAAAATTAATTTGTTTTCATTATTTACTGACACTTTTTTGTTTGTATCTTTCACCAATTCATTTTCAATTGTAGTTTAACCTGACAAATGTTTGCAATTATTTGCTTCATTTTCAAGTAATTTTTGTTTTCATCAAACAATTTGAAATTTAATTAATCAATTTGAATCACCACAAGAATATAAAATTTGGTTTCTTTTGGTGTAAATTTAGGTTCATCTTTACTCTGGTTTCAAGCTTTGAAAACATTGAGTTGTTTCTGGTTGTTGCTGTTGAATATTTGATTAACAATGCTTGTTTGCTCAGTGATTATTTTAATCATCAAATATTACATTAACATTTAAATTACAATTTATTATTATTATGCTATTGTTAGTTTACTTTTCAATCATTGAAATAAAGTTCATCACTGGCAAATTATTATTTTCATGATTAAACAAAAAACAAATCAAATAAAAGCAGTGGCAAAATAAAATGTTTTATTGTCAAGTTGATTGTAATAACCTGTCATAACGATCAAATGATAAAAAAGACACAGACGTAACACTTGCTCGTACTTCACTGAAAAACACAACTATTCAACGTATCAATATGAACAAGGCAGTGAAGTTGATACATCTATATTCAGTGCGTCCTCACTTCAGTTATATCCTCGACTGAGATTTTTTGGTAACTCAATAGGTAAAATGGCAAGGAAAGTAATCTTGCTGGAGCGGGCAGATCAAAACGAGAGTGGGTCTAATGGATTCCCAGTGTCAGAAAACCCCAATCTCCCATCGAACAGATTGATTTGAAAAAAAGTTAAAGGTAAATGAATCAAAGTAATGAAATGAGCATAAAATTTTACATCATATAAGTTCATAACAGAAAGTTGCTTTTTGCCAGTTTATGGCAGAAATGAGTTTTGTTTCACACTTGAGGACGAAATTGATTGAGAATCATTGTATTGCTTGAAATATTGGCTTGATTAAACGATTAAATTTGCATTGAATAGCAAAATTTTATTCAATTAGATTAGGTAATACAGTTAAATGTAAGTTGAATCAATGATTTTTGACCAAATTGATTTGATATACACAATGAAAATTGAAATTTCATGTAGACCTTTCAGTTTGATGGAAAAAAATAGATTTCTTAAACGAAGGACTATCTGATAAATTACTGAAAAATGCTGACATTCGTATACATATTACTGTCATAAGATAATTGACGGCTCCGAACAAAGGAAATGTAGTGATTAAAGTAATTTTGCTTACCAATCAAGTTGATAAACACTCACATTGAAGCATTTATTCCAATTAGTTGTAGATTTTGTCTTGAAAACTTTTTCAATACAATCTTATTCATTTGGTGATAAAAAAGCTGAATTGAGCTTAAAATACAAAATCTGTTGCTTTTCAACGACAAATCAATATTTAACAGTGTCTAATAACATTATTCACCATGAAAGGACAAAACACATCATGGAAAAGTTATTCATCATGTGTCACCATAAATCATTGTTTATTAACATTTTTGATCGGTATTTTATCCATCAATTGTTCCCATGGTTTTGTGCTTAGTTTCGGGGCTACTGAAGACTACCAAGAGCCATCAGAAAAGTATCCAAAGATATTTGAAGATGCTGTTACAGAGTTTCTTCCTGAAGATGTTACCATTAAGCCGTCACAAGAGAAGCATCCGTCAACTATGAATCCTCATTCGACTTTTCACTTTCAGAGTTCAGAAGAAAGCCCACGAACAACTGTCCACGATCATACTGAGGATGTTACCACTACCACGATGTCACCACTACTACTATACCACTATGTGGAGCCAATCCTTACCGTCACTCCTAAGGCACCAGAAGATAATTTCCCTATAAGCACAGATTACGTGCATACCACAACTGCCCAATATCGTCATGAAAACCGATTTACTGAAGATGTTACCACTATGAAAACACAAGAATCTATCTGGATAAGTGACAGTTCAACTGCTGGCACCCTCACTGAAGTTGATACTTATACGTATGCAACCAAGGACACTCCTAAGACACCAAAAGATAATTTTCCGGGAATAAATGATGGAGTCACCCCAACGATCCATGTCAGCGATTCATCTACTGGAAACATTATTGTTATGCAAGCCCCAGATTTGATCAGGTTACCTGAAAGCAACCACGAACATACTATAATTCTATCAACTACTACCAGCACTACTGAATCTACAGCTCAATCTCAAACCTCTTACGACGTTTTGGTGCCAGCCTCAAGAGAAATTGATTCAAAGACATTTGAACCTTCAGTAGATAATCCCTGGCCAACTGTGAAGTGTGATGCCGATGAGTTTAGCTGCCACTCGAGAAGGTTGTGTATTAAAACGCATTTGGTTTGTGATGGAATCAATGATTGTGATGATGGATCAGATGAGTTTGAATGTGAAAGTGCAACTCAAACTATTAGTCCAGATTTAATTTGCGTGAATGATGAATGTCCCAGGTCATACGAACGTAACCCAAATCCACCTCAATGTACTAAATGGGATTTTAACAATATAGCATGCAAACATCACAAAGGAAATGTACCTTTGATCGTCTTTTCCACATTGAATGCCTTATATGAGAATAATTTACCAGAAGATCGATCAAAAATACAAGTAGACAAGGAAATTCAATTCGATTTGAGTGGGATAAGTGCTTTTGATTACGAAAATATAAACGATACGGTAATTTATTTAGATAGGAGTGAAAATAAGATATTTGCGGTACCATTTATTCCGAGTAAGAAACATTTAACTTAAAGATTTAAGAAAATTGGATTTAGGTTGAATTTTGAGTTAAGTTAACATCCTTACCTTTTTAAAGTCTTAGACGTAATTGCAGTCCAAGAGCGTCGCGTGGCTATTAATGGGACACATGGATGGATTCATGGATTCGCTTATGATTGGATGAACAACGCTTTAATTTGGATTGATGACTATGGAATCAGATCAAAAAGATTTTTGAGAAATTTCTTAGGGAATGACGTATGTTTTAAAACGAGCAGTTAATTTGATTCTTCGATAAACTTAATTAAACTATTTTCTTACTTCAATTGAACAGCAGCCTAAACTTTACCGTACTTTGGATCCTTCTTATGATTGGCCTGGAGCCATCACTATCGATGTCAAGAAACAATGCATCTTTTGGACAAATATTGGTGCCGATCCAAACAGACCTTTTGATTTTCCTGTGTACATTGAGCGAATCGATATAAGCGGTGAACCTAGAACCCAAAAAATAGTTGAAACGAACATCTTGCGTCCAGTTGGTTTAGCCATTGATGCTAAAAACACCAAAGTCTATTGGATTGATGGTTTATATGGCACATTGGAATCGGTCGGATATGATGGAACCAATCGTATCATTTTGTATGAGTCTTTGCCCTTCATGGATGAACTTATATCAATGGACATATTTTCAAATTATTTGTACTTCACTGACAAGGCAAACAGTACAATCCAACGTATCAATATAAACAATGCAGTCAAAAAAGTCGATACATTGGTATCGGTACCTTATGGCCCACCTACATGGGTTAAAATATTTGAACCGAGTGAGCAATTTTCCACCTTTTATCTCGGCCGTTTGCCCAATCTAAAACCATGGAAGGAGCTAGATCTAGAAAGCCCTACAGAAATTGCCTCTATTTAATTTCCTTTCTCTTCCCTGTTCAAAGGAATTTGATTCATGTATGAAAGAGACTAATTAAAAATAAAATTTCTTGTTCAAACGAATTGATCATTGCAAGCAACATGGAGGAATCATATTCAAAGAAAAAGGAAATTAAAAAGATTCTGGTCTCGATGCAAAGAAACTCATGTACAGTTATGATGGAATGAATTTGAAGACTCATCAATAACGATATAATCGATGCTGATCACACGATAAGCTCATTTCCTTGGTCGGTCTCATATATTGTTTTGTGTAATACAATATGTGAAATATAAAATGTAATTTGAATCAAGATACCAATCTTGCTTATTCAGCATATGCTCAATAAGCTCTTCATATCTTTCATTTCATTTCAACTTGAAAATAAATTTGTTTCGATTAAACATTGCGTTTCTTTCATTAAAATTGATTTAAAATGCCTGTCGATTTGAAAATTAAAATTGAGACAATCCTTAGTTTTAAATTGTATTATTTACTGACTATCTTTGTTATATTCAACAACTTCCAGAGTATTCACTCGTTTCCTCACATTGATATAGCCGCCTTTTTACATCCACATGCGACTGAGCTTCCAGAAATATCCACCAATGTGCTTCCAAAGCATCGATACTCACAATTGACTTGTGACGAATCAAAATTCTCTTGTGGCGATTCTTGTATTCCACTTGCATGGAAATGTGATGGAGCACTTGATTGTAAAGATGGTTCCGATGAAACAGGATGTAAAGGTTGTGCTAAAGATATAGATTTATTTGCATGTGCGAATGGTAGATGTATTCCCAGCAATTTTCTTTGCGATTCAGAAGATGATTGCGGTGACAAATCGGATGAAGTAAATTGTAAAATCTCGTGTCCATCTTACAAGTTTACTTGTTCCATTGGTAATAAGTGTATCGATAAAGCATTAAAATGTAATGGTATTACAGATTGTCCTGATGAATCAGACGAAAAAGAATGTGGTCATGAATGTTCAGAAAAGGAGTTTAGGTGTGACGATGGTACTTGTATTGAAAAATCATTCCGTTGTGATCAAATTATTGACTGTAAAGATCAAAGTGATGAGATTGGTTGTGATACTAAAATTCACCGTAAGGACACTACACATAAAAGACCAGAATCATCAGTTGATTTTATGAATCTTTTCAACTTTTTGGCAAATTTCGGTGCTTATTCAACAATTGAACGCGTTAATACAAAGAATGGCTCTAAGATGGAAATTGTACTAAAAGCGAACTCTGTGTCTACGATTGGTGTAGCTATTAGCGCTGAAAATGTCAAAGTATATTGGATCAATGGCACACATGGTACTTTGGTCAATAGCAATGGATTGGACAAAGAAAACCCCTGATTTCATCTTTGATTAAATATGCTTTTTCTTTGCAAATAAGGCTCTGAATTGCAAGCAGAGATGACAGACCAAAACTATGATCCAGCACCTTTTAATTTAAATGTCAATTTTATAACCTGTTGCCTTAATGCTAAATGTAATCTTTGGCCAAATAAATTAAAATAAACTCTCAAAAGCTGGTTGTCACTTTAAAGTCACAATTAACACAAATGGGAAAAAATTGTTGCTACAAATCAAAGACCGAACACTTTTTTCAATTTGTCAATTGTTCTCTTGATTATGCCATTAGCCTTAAAACTTCGAGCCTCAATACTTCGGGAATCGTATCCTCTACGATCATCATTCTTGAGCAAACATTAGATCTCATTATGGGCTCTAATATATTGAAATATTGAATCAAGCAAGATCCATGTAAAAAAATTTATGTCATTGTATTAATTGTTGTCAGATTTGAGGCTTCTTTTATAAATCTAAACACTAAGTGCTTACATTTTAAAGAAATGGTAAATCTCACAGAGAATAGCGGGCTTAAGACTTAAAACAAGATTAAATACAACTTCTAACCAATAACGTTATTTAACCAAAGTCACACATATTGATAAAAAAAAATTTGATGACACTTTTGTCTGGCAAATTAACTCCATTTTTGCTTATTCAACTTATTGTCAATGGATGCTGATTGATCTTGACAACTCTTATAATACAATCTTATTCAAGTTGTTTATTCACTTTATTTAATAGTGTCTAATAACTTTAGCAATGAAAGACCATAACAAATCGTGTAAATGTTTTTCATCTTGTGCAAGCAAAGTCACTATTAACTATTGTTTAACAACTTTTTTCATCATTATTTTATCTGTCAATTATTCTCATGCTTTTTGGTTCTGGTGGACTGGACCTGAGCCTGAAGTTCCTACCACCGAGCCACCAGAAGAGAATCCAAAGACATCTACAGATTCTGGTAAAAGGTCTCCTTCTGAAGATGTCATCCCTGAACCAGCAGTAGAGAATCACTGGCCAATCGTGAATTGTAGCTTCTGTCAGTTTAGTTGCCACTCGAAAAGGTTGTGTATTAGACCGCATTTGGTTTGTGATGGAATCAATGATTGTGATGATGGATCAGATGAGCTTCCATGTCCAAACGTAACTTCAATAATTGATCCAGCTTTAGATTGTGAGAATGGTGAATGTCCTCGGTCATACGAACGTAACCCAGGTGAATGTAATTGTCAGTGTTTAGGTGATTCTCGCTGTGCTGCATGGGTTTACGGAGATCCAGTGTGTACATACCGCAAAGGAGAAGTACCTTTGATCGTCTTTTCCACATTAAATGACTTATTTCAAGCTGATCTACCAGAAAATCGTACAGAAGTACAGGTAATTCAGCGGAACATGGGCCACAGAAATTTGTATGCTATAAGTGCTTTTGATTACAGAGCCGTCGAGAAGCTCTTAATTTGGTTCGATTCGATTGAAAACAAAATATTTACGGGAAGAGTCAATTTAGAACAGGGTAAGTAACTTAAAATTTGCAATTTTTTAAAGCATATGTAAGCAAATTAACTCAAAAGGACAAATCAAAATTGATCTTCCTTTAAAGCCAAATCATATAAATCTTATTCATTCTTATTATTTCAGAAAGAGGAACAATTATTGTCTTTGACCAAAAGCAACTTTGATCTCTTGTTTGCCATAAATACAATTGTATCAATTTCTGATCTTCTTACAGAGTATCTCATTGGAATCCATGGACGTCAAGTAGTTATTGGTGGGACAAATAAAATTCATGCATTTGTTTATGATGGGATGAACTACGCTTTAATCTGGATTGATGACTATGGAATCAGATCTGAAAAATTGCATGAGACATCTTTCATTGCGATGAATGTATGTTTTAATTATTAAAAGGACAATTATTAATTTGATTCTTTAAGACATTAATTCAACTATTTTCTTATTCCAACTCAACAGCAAACTAAACTTTACCGTACTTTGGATCCTTCTTATGATAGACCTGGATCTATCACTATCGATGTGAAGAAACAGTGCATCTTTTGGACAAATATTTGTCCAAATAGATCTAATTTTATCGAGCGAATCGATATAAGCGGTGAACCTAGAACTCAAATAGTTGAAACGAACATCTTGCTTATAGTTGGTTTAGCGATTGACACTAAAAACTCCAGAGTCTATTGGATTGATGGTTTATATGGTACATTGGAATCGGTCGGATATGATGGAACCAATCGTATCATTTTGTATGAATCTTTCCCCTTCATGGATGAACTTATATCAATGGACATATTTACAAATTATTTGTACTTCACTGACAAGGCAAACGGTACTATTCAACGTATCAATATAAACAATGCAGTCAAAAAAGTTGATACATTGATATCTGTTCCTAATGGACCACCTACATGGGTCAAAATAGTTAACCCGAGTAAACGTAGACGGAAAAGTTACGTCCGATTGCTGTCTTTATTTCAACCCAAAAATGCGATTATATTAACCTGATTTCCCGACTGTAGATATGTAAATTAAAAACGAATCAGTCGCAAGAATCATATCCGATGAAAAAGTCTTCATGGGTTCAGCTGAAATCCAAACTGGTTTCCTATGAAAATTGAAAAAAATGTCCATTAATTGCAATAAAAGTGGAAAAACTGATGCTAACGTAAATGCCATGTTTCACTAGATATGGATGAAGACATGAAGGCAACGTGTTATGCACAAGTCGAGGTTTTTCATTCAATTTGTAGATTCATTTAAATTGCTTGATGAAAAGATAACATTTAGACTCTAAACAATATAAAAACAACACAAGAAAAGATAAATCAATTTCAATAAAGCTGAATAAAAGTGAATGAACTTAATTTTGGAAGAAATGAGTTTAATTTATATCACTTGATCATTTCCCAATCTGTTTCATTGATAACTTGAAGAGTGGAGAATGATAAACCAAATAATTTGCATGCAAGTGACAGGAATCAACACAGATCAGATTATCGACCTAAATGTTACAAAAATAGCTTTTAATTGACATTTACTGTTGACTATTTATTTGATTTATTGTGTACTTATTCAGGACCCAACAAGATGGCGTTATTGTATGAGATGCAATCAGTGCCATCTATTATCTGGTAAACAAGAGTAAACTCGAAACTCTAAAATGTTATTCAATTAAATTAATTGCCATAATAATCGTATTTATAAAGATGTTATTTCAATGCAAATGATAGTCAATAATAAAATGAGGAAAAGTGAAAAGTAAATGACATCTTCGTTGTAATGAAAGAATGAAGAAACTTCCTAACTCGTTGATTGTAATAGCAAACAAGATTTGTCATTGATAACTTGATTAAAACTGTTTTAAATGAGATAAAAATCCCAAGCAAAAATAATGTTTTTAATATAAGTTGTCTACACTTTAAGCGTTTTCATGTTAATAACTTAATGTTGTTTTAACCATATTGATGTTCAAATGACGTTCAAGCCTACCCTTCATTAAATCATTCAAGGTTGTCTAATTGTTGTTTAGTTTTGAAAGCATTTTTCAAAGTATTTTTCAAAGTACAATTGAAAGTAAGAAAAAAACGTTTCCATTTTTGTTGTTATTCAATCATTAAACGTCAGTCAAAATCTCTTCAATTATTCAAACAATTTTCATGTTTTCAGACAAATCACCAGCTAAGATCACAAGGCTGGTAAAAATCCTCTGAGAAATCACATTTCGCATTAAAATCAATTTATCATCTTTGAAAAAACACCGAATGATGGCTTCTATAATGATATTCAGCAACAACAAATATAATAATAATGAATGATTAAAAGCTTACAATAAACAAAATAATAAAATAACAAAATAATTTCATCAAAAGTAAACCAAAATCAAGCTTATAATTTGATCCTTAACCTGACCCAACCTAATAGGAGCAATAAACACTCATTAGATGGCGTTGGCTATAGACATTTTAAAATCATTTAAAGATAATTTCAAATGAAAGATGAAAATGTAAATTAAATTGACTTCAGACATCAACAATCAATTAATAATATCTAAAAGTAATTGAGTGTTTGCCAAAAAATAGAAAATTGTTTTGATGAATTTACTTCGATAATCGATCAATTGGAAAGTGAACGATTATTCAATCAATTCATCGAGATCGGACCATTTCTATTACGTCATATGGCGTGATTTTACGTCACATGTCTCACTATTTATGAATCAACATCACAGGGCGGGACCTTTAACCGAATCTCACCATTTTTGAATCACCGGTTGAATCAGCCGCCATCTATGGCTTATCCTCATCATGTTTACAATGAATTTGACGTCAAATTGTCCAACAATTGTCCACGTCAATCGGTAAAACTGACACCTTTTCAGGGTACATCTTATTTGAACCAGACGAAACAGGGAAAATAAGCTAAACAATTTCGATATTTAAAGCAAATTAAATTCATTAAAAAGCAAGAAAGGTCATTTTGCTTCCTACTTTGAATTATTTCTGATGTAATTCTGGTTTTCAATTTCAGTGAATCCTTAATCTTTAAAACATCAATTAACCAGAAACCACGAGACAACATGAACCGGTAAGGTTTTATTCACACATGGTTTGTGCTATTTCTTGGCGTGGCCTTTGTTTATTGATTTAATATGAATAATAGTTGATCAGCTTAATCATTAAGCCTTAATGATTTACTTTTCTTTGTATTGCGCTCATTTTTTGTATTCCCTCCTCTCTGTATTGCTGCCAAGCAACCCTTATAGGCATGTATTAGTTGATTACATGACTTGAAGAAAGGTTTAGATACGACTGATACAGACTATGTGCTACTTGATTGTGAGTTGAGTTGAAACGAGTGCAGAACTGTGTTAACCAAGTTAACTGTGTTAACTGTGTTAAAAGTTAATCAATTTTTGTTTCACTTTCATTAATCTTAAATTTTCTATTAATAGTTCGAAAAGATATTGTTTTTTGTTTTGTTTTTTTCCCCTGGACTTGTACACATCAATATATAATCAGTATATAATTTCGTCCTTTTCTTCTGATACTGTTCATTATGAAAACAGCAAGTAAATCATGGAAGCTATTTAATTCAATTAATTTGTGTTTAAACATTACTAGCCATTCTTGGTTAGTATTGTTAACTTTAATTTTACTCAGTAATTATCCACTTCTCATGTTCGCCAAGCCATTATGTAAAACAAACTCTAATAGTACGGGAATTTTCGGTTTCCTGAAGCCGGCTCAGTCACATTCAGAAATAGATTGTGTAAATGGCCAACAACCCACCAAATTTGATTCATCTAATAGTCCTACATACTCATCCTCCAATTCACAATTGAATTGTGGAACATCACAATTCTCTTGTAATGATTCTTGTATTCCACTTTCATGGAAATGTGATAAAACCGCCGATTGTAAAGATGGTTCCGATGAAATGGATTGTATTTATCATGACTGTGATAACGATGCATTTAAATGTGCAAATGGTAAATGTATTCCCAAAAATTGGCTTTGTGATTCAGAAGATGATTGCGGTGACAAATCGGACGAAGTAAACTGTAAAATCACATGTCCACCTTCCCAGTTTACTTGTATCATTGGTAATAAGTGCATCGATAAAATGTTACAGTGTAATGGTATTACAGATTGTCCTGATGGATCAGACGAAAAAGAATGTGGTCATGATTGTTCAGAAAAGGAGTTTAGGTGTGACGATGGTACTTGTATTGATAAGTCATTCCATTGTGATCAAGAGTTTGACTGTAAAGATCAGAGTGATGAAAAAAATTGTCCCAACACTGTATGTGCAAGTAATCAGTTCACATGTAGTGACGGAAAATGTATTGCTGATCTATACCGATGTGATGGTAACATGGACTGTAAAGATGAATCAGACGAACTTGGATGCCCCATGGCATTGAATACATCACATGCCACTATTTTCTGCAATGACAAATCTTTCCAGTGTCACGACAAATTGGAATGTATCCACATTGATTGGAAGTGTGATGGTTCACCTGATTGTAAAGACGGATCAGACGAGAAAGATTGTATTTATAATGCTACGTGTCGCCCTGATCAATTCAAATGTAATTCAACCGGTCAATGTATTCCTTCTTACATGAGATGTAATGGTGCTCATGAGTGTACAGATCATAGTGATGAAATTAATTGTGAAACACGTAAGTTGTTTTTTCCCTCTGTATTATAAATTTTCAAATTTGAGTATTCTTATCAATCTTTTAAATTTTATTCCATCCTTTCAGACTCAAATTCAACTTGCGGTCCTGATATGTTTCAATGCAGTTCACAGTTAAAATGCATACCTAAAGAAAAAGTATGTGATCGGGATGATGATTGTGGAGACTGGTCCGATGAACCTGCTTCTTGCGGCATAAATGAATGTAAATCTAATCAAACACATTGCTCTCATGTAAGCATAATTTTACTTGTTGATTATCATCTATCTTTATCAAGTCAATTGTATTTCTATTTTAGTTCCCCTTTCAGTACCTTAATCTCGAAAGCCTAAATTTTCCAATAATGACTAATCTCAGGTTTCTTCTAGTCTACTCTTTCTATCTCTCATCTTTATCCATACCTCTCTTTACTCTCTTTCTCTTTCTCTTTCTTTACCTTTACTCCTTTTCTCTTACTACGTTCATCTTTTTCTTTTCTCATACTTTTCAACTGATTTACATTATCATCTTCACTATTCATTAAAACATGTTTCTTTTACTTTCAGGAATGTATTGATGATACAATTGGATTTCATTGTGCATGTCCTAAAGGATTAAAGCTTGGTAATGATAGTAAAACCTGCTATGATATTGATGAATGTACCGAAAATTTTGGCGTCTGCTCCAATCATAAATGTTTCAATACTAAAGGAAGCTTTAAATGTGAATGTTTCGATGGATATCTATTGGTTGATCATCGTTTCTGCCGAGTTAAAACTAATGAACAGCCATTAATCGTTTTTGCCAATCGACATGATATACGTCAAGCTCATTTACCAGCTAATCGTTCAGGACCGCGACATTATGCACCTTTATATCGTGAATTAAGCTCGACTGTAGCTATTGATTATAATCTTAAAGGAAATTATTTAGTTTGGTCAGATGTAAGTGATGAGATGATTTATATCGGAAAGCTGAATAAGAGTAAAGGTTAGTTGTAATTAAGCATTTAGAAAATTTCATCTTTTTTATTAATGTCTGACAATTTTATTCTACCCGCAATTTTTAGAGTCTATCCATGCCAAAGAAAATTTTACTTCCCTTATTTCAACTTCTGTAAAAAGTGTTCACGGAATTGCCATTGATTGGATCCATGATTTATTATATTGGACGGATGATATTGCTAATACAATTGAAGTCGCTCAAATTGAAAAGGTATTTACACGATTTCAGACGTTAAATTTCTATCAAATTCAGTCAAGTCATAACCTTTTCTATTATATTTATATCACTTTTTACAGCCTCACAACAGAAAAATCATTATTGAATCTGGTCTTGATGAGCCTCGAGCCATTGTTGTGGATGTGAAAGAAAGCATGCTTGTTTGGACTGATTGGGGTGACCATCCAATGATCGAAAAGTCATCCCAAGATGGTTCAAACCGAAAAACATTAGTCGATACAAATATCATTTGGCCAAATGGTTTAACTCTCGACATTGTTACTAAAAAAATTTACTGGTTAGATGTCAAATATCATACTTTAAGTGCAATCAATTACGATGGAAGTGGTCGGATAACACTATATGAATCTCACACATTCATTAATCAACCATTCTCAGTGGACGTATTCGAAGACTACTTGTATTATTCAGATTGGAAACTTGAAGCAATCCAACGTATCAATATCAACGATGAACCACGAAAAGCAGATACTTTCATGTCTGGACTTGTTGAATCTCCAATGGGTGTAAAAATTGTTCACTCAAGTAAACAGCCAACAATCTCAAATAAGTGTAAATCATCTAAATGTACTCAATTATGTTTGCCATCATCAACTAAATCAACTAATTATCAATGTGCATGCCGTAAAGGATATTTACTATCAACTGATGGTTATTCCTGTACATCAGCTACCTCTGCAATATTGCAAAAAACCTCTTCAATTTTAAGCTCTACTGCGAAGTCAACAACAGTTACCAAAACACCGGTAACTGTAACATCAACTGTCCAATCATCAACGTTCCCATCTAAGAATGAAGTATCAAGTTCATCATCAAGCATTGGTAGTGATAAAGATTTAGATGAAAGCTCATCTCTTCGAAAGGGAGACAAATCAAAGGACACTTCATCAGGAATCTCAAATGATTCCTCTATTTTCAGTGATAATACCAATATAGTATTAAATTCGCCATCAAGTTACTTCGAAACTGATGCTCATCTTGCTTTCATCATTATTGCCATTTGTTTGACTATAGCTTTGTTTGTAACTCTGCTAACATTTATAATTCATAAGAATTATGCTAAGTAAGTTTTCTATTTCCTGGTTATTTTTACGATTTAATCGATTTTTCTGTTTTCTAATAATTTCTCTTTTCCTTTCAATTTTAGGAGAAGCATGACATCAATGAATTTTGATAATCCGGTTTATCGTAAAACCACAGAAGAACAATTTGTACTTGAAAAAAGTGAAGATACTGTTAATTCTTATCCATCAGTAAGTTGATGAAAAGTTAAAATTAAAATTCTCACGTTACTGTAGAAAAGCTAACATTGATTACCTTTCTTCCTCTCTTTCAATTTTAGAGTCTGGAACCGTTAAATTGTCCGGGAACAAATGAATTTGTCTGAACAACATGACAATTTTCCTTTTCAGTTTCTTTTTTTGTAAATAGATTAAATACTACCTGTAAATATTGTAATCCATACGAAAGGCAGATTTCTCATTACTCTCTGTTTCATTTGCTCTCTCCTTTTTCTTCTCCTTCAATCCTTTATTTCTTCCTAATCTATTTTTGTTTTTTTTTGAAACCACCATCAGTATCTTCAAAAACGCCCTGACTCAACTCTACACTTTTTTGTTTCTATCTTGTTCAGAATCTCCCTAAAATTTCTTTTTTTTCTATTTCAAAAAGTAACTCTTTTTGAAGCTTTTCAATATAATTGTGATCGTTTTAGCGAGAGATTGGATAACAAAAAGAGCAAAAATTCCTCACGCAACTAAAGACAACCTGTCAAAGCATTTAATATATTCACACTAAAGCTAAAAATCAAAATGGACAATGAAATATTTCAAGTCACAATTTCCTGTCTCAACAAGGTGCAATCTCAAAGCCAAGAATCAACCAAACAACCAACTCCAAGTAAAAGTCAGACTTTTTTCAGGCTCTAATCTTTTTTGTTGTGAACCTCAAATTTAGGATTAAACAACTAATGAAAAAGCAAAAGCAAAAATGAAATGAATTAAAATTTAGTGTTTGTTGAATAATTTAAACAAATTGTGTCTACCCTTTCATTGATTGTTTCAAAAATTGTTTCAATTATCTCATAGATTTCATGGATTGATACTAAAGATGATAAGCATTAAATGAACAAAAAGAGGAAGAAGTTATCAGGAAAGAGTAAAAGCCAAGGAAGAAGCTGAAAAGGTACAGAAGATGAGCCAAAAAACAACTAAAGAAGGTGATGCTGAAAAAAGGAGGAGTTAATGAGAGTCTTTTGAACCTGAGTGAAGGTTGAATAGAGATGATTTTGATTACCAATAAAACCCTACTAATAATAATTGATTAATTGCCCCGGGTTGGACAGTAAAAGTCATTAGTTAAAAGCTGATATTACGTTATCTCCTCAGGAACAAACATGAGATATAAAGCAAGCAGCTTGTTTCAAATTCAACAATCAGAATAAATATTTTTCTTTCTTTTAAATATTCTCATCATCATCTTTAAAACACCATCAACATGAGAATGATCATCATCACCATCAATATTATCGTCATCATTATCATCGTATTTTCACTTATGACTTTTGACTGACTTGGAATGAGAAAACTCGGAAAAGAGATGAAACTGAAACGATGCCTAAACTAATTGGAATAATTTCAAGAAACAAGATTAGTCTACAAATTGGGTCAAAACCTTGATTGTTATTATAAATTGAAAAAAATATAACTTTTGTGACGACTGGCTGATTAGCGTACTGTTTAAACTGGTGTTTAAACTTCACTTATCCGACTCATTTTGAATAACAACATCAACACCGAATGATACTTTTTACCAATCACCTGACGATGGTTAAGTAAACATATTTTGGATTCCTGATTTTGCCTGCTCTTCATCATCAACACCATCAATAGAGACAATCAGAAAGAAAGAAAAGTGGAAAAAGAAAGAAGAAAAGAAAGATTTGAAAGAAGAAGAAGATAATCATGCAAAAAGTGCTATCAGATTACGTTGCAAACATATTCTCGAGATTACCTTTAAGTTAACCATTTTCCCCTTCTACATCAACATAATTTCAAACGTGGTTACACACGTTTCTTTGTTATTATCATCATTATCTTGCTCACTTCCACATTTCTTCTTCTTCTTCTTCTCTTCAACTCTTTCTCTCATCATAATCATCTTCACTGAACCAAAAGGCCTTTCCTTCCTTACATCTTCTCATCTTAAACATCATGATTCCTGTCCAAGGTAAGGATATTCCTCTTGTTAATAATAATCATTTTAGACTTTCTCCTTTTTTTCAGACTCCAAGAACCTGATTTCGCCCTCATCTCCTTCAAACCGTTAAATAAAATGCCTTCAAATAATATAATAACCTTAGCTAATGATATAAAAATGCTGAACAAAACAGGTAATGAAAAATGGTTTCACAGATTTAAGCGCAACGATTAACTTGGCAAACTTTCAACTAATTGTTCTAAAGACATTCAAGTGAAAATTACATTTGATGAAACAATTTTTCCATTTCCATCTGAATGATGAATGTAGAGCTGATTAAAATTTTCGAAGAAGTCGAGTGTTTTTTTGTAGCCTTTTAGCACTAACCACTGTGACAGTTGTTTAAACACATGCAAAATCATACGATAAATCACCAGATCGACAGGAACAAGTTAATCCGGTGCCCTTCATTTGAATTCAACTCTGGAAATGCAAAACATTTGCAAAACCTGCATAAACATTGTTGATAAAAAAACAAGGAAATGAGCCAGAAATAAACTATTAGGTCAAAAAAGTACAACTTTAGCACCTTGAACACAATAATACATACAGGTATGAATTTAAAATTAACAAATAAATAAGTAAATGTTAATTGCTTAGACTACAACTTTAACCAGGATATACAGAGACTAGACAGACATAAATATAAGGTTAATCCAAGCAAACCGGTAAATATCTGACATTTGGCTAATTGGTTATTGAAGTTAAAATTGGCTGGACCATTTCAGACAATTATCATCATTATCTTGGTTGATCAACAGGTCGACTTAATTGTACAATGTTCATGAGAAACAATTTCTCAGGGTTAAATCGATATTCTCATTAAAAACAATCAACTTGACTGTCTGTTTCAACTGAACAACCGGTAACAAACCGGGAGAAGCAAGAAAGCAAAGTCATTTCCTACAATTTGGTCTGTTTTCCTTTTCAAATTCAATGGTTTACTCAGGTTTAAAATTTGTCCAACTAATTACAGTTGATGGCGATAATAAGACGACAACGGCGATGATGATAATGTTAATGTTGAGATTGATTCGTAATAAAATTTGTAATAAGAATATTTTAAAAGGTAAAAAGGTTTGGTAGCAAAGCCATCATTACAAACCAGACTTGGGAAACATAGACACTTTGGGTTACCCTTGAACCAGGCCATTCCACTATTACATATAGCTTTTGGCAAGAAAAGGTTATTGATTTGAAGAGAGAGAGAGAGAAAGAGGGAAAGAAACTCAGGTGATGATGAAGACGAAGCAAATCAAGAAAACTTGTAACTTAAATAATAGCGTTTGTCTCAAAGAGTAAAGGAGAAGAGGTTTCTCTCAATACAATTTTGTGAAGCTTACAAAGTGGCTCTGGCGAGGGCGCTTTAAAGGTATTTTAATAGATTAGATAAAAAAAATTAGATTAAAATTAAATTGAAAGAGATTGAAAAAGTGACTGATTCGAGCGCCTCTCGTTGAGGACCGCTAACTAAACTTCTCATTGAATCCTATGGAGAGCTATCTCTTCTTCTTTACTCTTTGGTTTGTCTACTTTTTTATAACTCATTTTGTTTCACTTTTTTTGCCTTCTTTTCCAATAAACCAAACCCTTTTCTTGGCTACTTTCAAGCGCGCTCTATTCAAACTGTTTAAACACATTGTTGAGCTTTAACTCTATCATCATAATCCTCATCCTACTCATCATCCAACTTTAACACCTTTTTATAAACCTCAATTCACCCTCAAATTGTCTCATACAATCTCATTGAACCGTTCAAATGGTTTGAATAAAATAACCAGCCACAAAAAAAGGTTGTCTTTCATGTTGCTGTTTCAGTCGCTCTAATGCAAGGTTAAATCAATGATTACACTTACAGGAATTAATAAGAGTTAATAATCATGTAAATGATTGCTAATGATGTTGTGAAGATGATAAATAAAAAGACGATTAATTACCACTGGAAATGGTAAAGTATTCACTGTTAATCGTCCAACAGACGCCTTTTATTGGCCTTTTCAATCTAATGTTTCCCATTATTGGCAATGGTTATCCATTGAAAGATAATAAAATACAATAGCAGTTCGAATCGTTGCTGCACATTTAAATGCTATTTAACTCAATTGATTAATGTTAATTTGATGATGTAATGGTTAATTTGAGAATGTAAAAAATTCAAAGTTACATCATTAATAATTTTTCAAAGCCTCAAGTTAAAAACCAGAATAAATCGAGTTTTCTGGCTTTACTTGTGTCTCCAATCAAAATCTGTTTTTAAGATTAACGTGTTTTTAAGCAAGATTAAGTATCAAATGTCGAAACAATTTAAGCTATTTCATCACTTTAATTGTGTTGGATTATTGTTGGATAATCATTTATGAACAGTGTCTCAGTTACAGGTGAATAAATCAACATTAGTTTCTCAGCATTAGTTTCATAGACAAGTGAATATTGTGATTAGACAATTTGTTTTATCCATTAGATGGTTAATGAGTCTGACTCTTGTTTATTTATTTAAACCTTTTGGATTGTTATATGATCGAATAGAGTAATTAGTTGATGAGAAAAATTGTAATCACTCATTAATCAATAATTACCATGAAAAAAGATCAGATATAAATTGACTTTGATTAGACAATTGATATCATTTCAGTTTTGTATATGGATTCAAGTTCAGTCAATTATTAAACAATCATTATGATTTAATGAGACAATTTTAATTCCTTTAGAGTAGATCGGCTAAAAGTCTACCTTTTTACAGTCAAATGGAAAGACATCAGACTATATTGTTGAACATGATAATGTTAAAAAAGTGTTCAAGTTTAATGGCCAATTCAATGAACACTGAGACCAGAATAACCGCCATACTCTTTAAACAGTCCGCCGTATGGTTTGAGTGGTGACATCTAGCTTTTCTTTCACTAACGATAGGATCTGCGAAAATTGTTTGACAATAAAAAATGTAAAGTTTAAACTTTAAATGCTTGTTTACATATTACAAGCTGAGACACGATCATGACTGATCGTAAATTTCTTTTAACCACCCATGCTAACCGTCTTTTCACGGTATTGTCCATGTGTTGGATTGAGTGGTGGACAATATGGCGGACAAGATGGTAAAAAACTGGTGAAAAAAGTCGGTCCCCTCTTTCCTCTTTACTCAAATGGCAAAGTTTCACATAAAATCCTGGTCCAACAATCAACCATCAACCTAAATAACAAAAAGTTTTTCCCCCTCTCTCAATGTTATTGAATACGAATTCTACATTTTTTCCCCCAGTCTCTATTTTCATGAATTTCTCAGAGGTCATGATATTCTGAGGACAGGTTTCCTATTTTTCGTCGTTGTAATTGAATTAGGGCTTTCACGCTGTGTAATTTTTTTTCTTAGAACCCGCTCAGTTCGACCACAATCTTGACGCAAAAATTTGATGCTTTGACTTTATATATTGTATGTATGTATAGATGTATACAGATGTAGATAGATTATACTAACGTTTAAAAGCTAAGTTAACAATTAAAAGATAGTTAAGACTATTATAAATAGCTACTGATAGAACATTTACTGATGTTGGATCATCAGAATGACGATGAAAAAACAAATCCTATCAAAGCGCAAAATATATTGAACAGTGTATCTTTGCCCAACAGTACAAGATTTCAGCGAATCTAATCGAATAATCGGAAATATATCGACGTTACTTCACGTTATTACTAGTTCAATTTGACACATGAAACAATTAAACAATCAATTTTCTAGACAATTATTTTAATCTCATTTGCTTGAAAAATAAAATGTTAACTCAAATGGTGAACACAAGATGGCAGAAGCAACTTGAACCATAAAACCTACAAAAACCCAAAAAATTTGCAAAAACAAGATGATTATTGTTAAAAATTATCTTGATTAATCTAAATATAATGTACTTGAATAATGGCCTTAAGGTTTGTTTGTTGAAATGAAACCTCGCCATTGCACAAACATATGATTTTCATGAGAGATAAAAGTTGAGTTGAAAATTTTGTGAGGATCAAAAATGGCAGGAAAAGACGGAATGAAAGCTGAAAAATGAAAAGAGTAAAATGATTAAGATCAGTTATTTGGAGAAAGAGAGAAAAGAGAGAGAGAGAGTATGATGATCAGGATGAGAATAAAAAAGAGATGAAGAGAAAGATGAAGAAAACGAAAGTAAATGGAAGATAAAAAGTGGCAAGAAAAACAAGAAAATGAAACTGAGTTTGAGCTTGAAACGAAGATGATGATGAGATTTGCTATCCATAAGTTTTTACTAGTTTTATTCAACTTATCTTGGCATCAACTTATCATATAATATGAAGCATTTACTCGCTCTTTTTTAACCAGTTTAACAGCGAAAACATAAAGTTACCCAAAACCGTCATCAACATCAAGACAGTCGTCACAATGATTACCAGTAAATTAAAATTGTAATCAATAATAAATTTGAATCAGTTGAAAATTGCCAAGCAAATTGCAAGTTCACCTGAGAAAATTTTTTACTTCATTCAATCAGATTCTCAAAGCTAGACAATTGGAGAAGCAAAAAATGTGACATTAGTTTAATTTGTGTCTTAAGTGTCTAGTGATTAACTGATCAACCAATTTACCAACCATGGAACCAAATGATTTGATTGAAAACTTGATTCTACCCACAACCATGTCACCCTTTTTGCTGATTAATTCACGTTCATCTTCATCATCCAGATTCTCTGATTACATTCAACCCTCATCGACTCTTTACATTGACGAATCATCTTCATCATTGCTACTACCAACATCAACATCAAACCCAACTCAGACCAACTCGACGGACCAAGAGTCTCGCTGGCTTCAATCGGAACCTCTACTCATCCCAGTCACTGTACTGTACATATTGATACTCTTGGCTGGTGTCATTGGTAACATTTCAACGTGCATTGTCATTGCTCGAAACAAGTACATGCGAACGGCCACCAACTATTACCTCTTTAGTCTGGCCATATCTGACCTTTTACTACTCATCTGTGGTCTTCCCCAAGAGTTGTATCTCTTGTGGCGACGTCGACCCTACATTTTTGGTGAATTTTTCTGCATCATTCGCGGCCTCTCATCTGAAACTTCCTCCAATGCCTCAGTCTTGACCATAACTGCATTTACCATTGAACGTTACCTGGCCATTTGTCATCCTCTCAAGGCTCACACAATGTCCAAGTTGTCTCGAGTAATTAGGTTAATCATTTTCATCTGGATTTGTGCTCTTCTCGGTGCTCTCCCTTTAGCTCTACAATTTGGCCTTAAATATGATGAAAACATTATCGATGGTTCATCTTCAATCTCGGCCATTGAATCAACCGCCGAGTGTACAGTTATATCACCAATTAAACACTCTTTTGCTATTTCATCGTTAATCTTTTTCATTATCCCATCACTTTTACTGACCGTCCTTTACCTTTCAATTGGATTACATTTAAGGCAAAGTGAAGCTCTTAAACGTAACCAACCCGACAAGTGTAACTGCTGTAGTTGGTTTAAATGTCGATCCCAGCTACTCAAGAGTGCAACCCAAGGGTTGAGACATTCACCAAGCATCCATTCCAATAATGTTGGTGAAGATGAAAATGAACAGGAGGAAGATGAAGGGGACAATAACAATTGTGAGAGTAAAAAAAGTGTCCACTCGAGTAATAATTTTGTACTAGCCAAGTATCACACAACTCTGTTGACCAGAAGTAGTTCACTTTATTCAAAATTTAAACCTTCACCTCCTTGTATCCGTTATACCGATTCAAGATCACCATCAAATCATCATTTACACAACACTAACCCTCACCACCATAGTCACAATAAACACAATAATCAAACTCATCTTCACCATTCTCATTACCCACATCACCACTATCACAATGAATCCAGTGCATCCTCATCATCTAGACGAGCAGTCATTAAAATGCTGGGTAAGTTTACAATTCATTTCATTCTTTGCCAACATTATCAACTCAATCAACTTCAAATCGACAATTGAAGCAAATCATTTTTGCAATATTTGATTAGCAAGTGATGCTTGTATCGGCTTGAATGAGCCTCATTCGATAGAATAGTTTAGTTATGAAAAACCTCGATGACCTGGAACCTTTCAAACCAATGATCAGAATCAAGTCAACTTTAGCCATAAAATTATCATTAAGAGTCAATTGTTTTATTTTTAACAATTTAACAGCAATAATGCAAACTAACCTTTCAATGTTTGTTTAACCTCAACTCGAGTAAAACTTGTAAGCTCTTGACGAACCCGACTTACATGATCAAAGATTCAAGACAAACTTATTTGGAAAAAGATTTCTTGATAAAATCTCTAACCACTTTTCGATGCTCAGATTCACTCATTGCTTGAAACTTTTCATGCTTATTCTGTTTATTGACTTGCAACTGAATTTGTTGAGAAATTTTCATAATTTGGTGATAGTGAATGATATCACCCGTTAGTTGTTTACCCATTCACAAATTCATAGAATCTATTGATTATTATTTTCCATAATTTGCATGGGAAAAAGTTTTTGCACAAAGTTTCAAGTCACCAGTAATTCTTGAAGCAATATTTCCTCAACTACTGGCCTCAGGTTCATAAAGAGTATCAAATACATTTTAATCTTGAAATTCTCAGCCCTTTAGCTATGAAAAAGTTCCAAGAAATTCATAAGTTGTAACAATTTTCCCACCAGAAACTCGAGTAAGACAAATGTTTATCAGTTTTACTGGTAAATGAATTTTAACCAGCAAAAGCAGGCAACGCCTTTCAACATTGTCACAATAATCAGATGAGATAAACCGAATCATTGAGTGACCCTGAAAAATCGGCAAATCTCAAGTTGACCACATCGCATTAAATCGAGTCCAAAATTACATGAAAATTAATCTGTTATTAGTCGTCAGTTGATCAACATGACGACTAGACAACTGTCAATCAGAATGATTGATGGATTCTAAATTTACTTTGGCCTTTGTGTAGCAAGTGCCAACTTTAAACTTCACAATCGATCGTGAATGTCAATATTGATTGGCAAAAGAGCTTTTCTTCTCATTGGTCATTTCGAATGTGATAAATTATATTTCGAATGAAACTTTTTAAAGCAATTAAAGTCCAAAATAGATTGATTAATAATTTAGTAATTTTCACTTTTACCCACAAAAATTGATGTGAAAAGCGGAAAAAAGTGACTCGAAATGTTTCTCTCATTTAACTTCAATTTGTATTCTCTGATTAATGATGTTGAATTACAAAAGCCTGAAGCAATGAGTTAATCAATTCAATTTTTGATTAATTCACCAGAAAGAAGAAGCTTTTTTTTCATTTCCATTTTGCTCAATCATAAATGATGAATAACATTTAAATTGCATTCAACTGTTCAAATGAATATTTAAGAAGCTTTAATCCAATGTTATTTATAAAGTCGATCATTGTCTTTACAATAACAAATAAATAACGTTCAAATGGTCTTATCAGTCCACTTCATTAACACTCGTGATTACTCAATTGGCTCATTAGAATTCATTGAAATAGTCGATGAAAATAAATCATTTTAATGTTTATTATCTGAATCTTTGATGACTTCAATGTCGAATCAACATTTGATTCCTCAAAGAGACAAAACTCTCATCAGAATTTTGCCAATTTTTCGAAATTCCATTTCCAGAAATTCTTATGAGCGGACGACTCGAAAAGCTACAAAAACCCTTAAAGCTGCAATGAAGTTCATGCATTTTTCGAACTTTCGAGTTTTTCGTTTCTCGCATCAAAAGGCTCGATTTTTTGTGTTTTGAAAGGAAAAATATGTTTTTGAAAAAAGTAAGTTTTTCAATTTTCTTCACTTCGATATAACTTGGAAACTTGAAGTCGATCAACTGAATCCAGTGAAGCAACCCAACACTTCGTTGGATTCATCGACCTCTCCAAGTCTCGTGATTGAACAATAAAAATAAGTGAATGCAAAGAATCAATGGTTCATGTTACATAATTGTTTACTCAGAATTGACCACAATTTATTGTCCTGAAATGCAAATTTGTATTTACTCGACTAAACAGTTGATTGACAAAAATCAACAAAATTCTGTAAATTATCACAATAGACATGACAAAGTAAACATTTTCTCAATCAAATTACAAGTTTAAAGCTCAATTTTGTTCAATGATTACCATGAGAAAGGAAAAGACAAAATGAATCTTTTGTTCAACATTAAACACTTGAACATTTCAAACAAATCTAATCATGGTTAGTCAACTTTTAAGCACATTTTGTTGACAAAAAGAAGAATTAAATTCATTTAATTAAACAATCTTTTTTTCCAACCACTTCTTAATCATTGAATTGAAACAATTTATTAAACAGATTTGGTGAAAAACGAAGCGAGAAAAAAAAGTGAAATTAATTTGGCGTTTCAATGTTTTCTTCATTGTAATATCATGTTGATTCAGGTTACCATTGTCATGGAGGGTTCCTCATTAGCAAGGCAACAACTGAACCCAGAATCAGTTGGAAACTATTATTATTAACCTTTCATTATAATGATGATTAAAGGATAACTTGATAACTGCCTATTGGGATTAACATTGTTATGTTAATAGAGTTTACTCGAGAAACTCACATATTAATAATTTGGGTTGAAATGATTGGATCGCTTTTGGACAATTTATCGATCAATTTCATCGAATCCAATTGAACACTTTAATCGATCTTTTGATTGAACTTGTGTTTGCTTCAACAATTGTTTTCCTTTGATTTAAATTTTCCAATTGCAATTATTCAAGGCAAATATTTGATGTTAACAGAAATTTTTGTTTTCCACTTTTTCAAACATTTATTTTACAACTTTACCGTCTCAAACCTTGATGTTGATTGACAATATGTTGATCGAGTTGATTAAAGTGTAAATGATTGAGTCAATGCAATTTACAAATGTAATCTGATGAAAAGAGATTGAATAATAATGAACAATTTAATGGTTTAGTTTAATTGATTTTGTTTACTGTTATGTTGTGTTTCAAGATTTGTGGTGAAATGGTTATTGAAGTTGAAAACAATTGAAAATTGCAATCAGATTGAATCAATGAAACGAGCATTAAGTAATGATTTTACTTGCTTTTTCAAAATGATTTCAACTTTGACTTTCATTTCCATTTCATATCAAGTTATCGATCTAATTTGGGTGAAAATTGTTCACAAATTACATTTCATGATTAGTTGAACTTGAGTTTTCTGGCAAAGTTAACTGACAGTTTGTCATTTGATTATTGTGATGGGAAGAAGGTGAAAAATAATGTTAGACAAAAGTCACAATTGATAATATTCATTGAATTACCGCAACTTGCAAGTATCTTTGTTTTAACCCTTTTCTTTACACAATACTTTCACCATTTCTGGTTACCCATTTAATTGTTGTTGGATCTCAGTTTTTCCTTCACCAACTTTAATAGCTGAATAATTGAATGGTATTCAAGCTTTTAATCAACTCATATAACTGAGGCATTTGCCTGAGGTAATGCTATGAATACTCGACAAATAATACCGCAATAATGCAACTTCATTTACTCAATTAATATATTAACGTTAATATGCAAAATCTGGTTTCAGCTCGAGTACAACTCCAAGCTTTTGTTTACGATCGTTCCCTTATCAGGGATTGAAGTTTTACTGAGAGTTCAACTGCCTGAATTTGTGTAATCACATTTACGACTTATTTAGATGAGAAATTTGTTCAACATTTAGACATGAGTGCAAAGTTTATGCTCTGATTTGATCAACGACTTGTGCATCCATCAAATTTTAACTGATAAACTTGACTAACTTGGCTTGTCCTCATTGACAAATCATCGGGTTAGTTTGCATTATTAATGTGACAAGAACACGATGAAAACAATTGGCATTGTTGATGACTGCTACTGTACAAGTCTAATCTTTACTTTACTAATTACTATTTTTTGGTTAAGTCTTGATTTGATGTGTGATACCGACAGTTGAGAAGTAGCCAAGTCCGTAACTCGACTTATTCAATAACTGAATAAAAGTGAAAGTTTAAACATAATCCAATGTAAAATCCATGAAATTTCAACTTTTCATCATTTTTAGTTTTAAAAAGCGAACTATCTTGAAAAAAGAACTTCGTTCAATATTTTTCAATTAATACTGCTCAATTCATTTGAGAAATCTTTACGTATGTTAAACGGCAGGTTAAAGGTCAAGTTCAACTAAGATCATACGGAAATCGCTACTAACAATACCAGAGAGCAAGCTAAGATCACATGATAATTTTCAAGGTCTTATAATTGTGCTGGTCAAGTTTCTTTATTCTGTCATAAAAGCTTCGTGAATTGCTCTGGAAAGAAAGCAAGAAACATAAAGATTACAGTTAAAGAGCTTTTCCCGGTAGGCAAGGAATCCGGGTCATCAAAACTGCCCAAATGTCATTAAACTGAAACTCAATCTCCTCACTATAAATCACTGGGTAACTCCAGCGATTTGCATAAAAGATTGAATTCTGTTAAGTCTTTGAAATACAAATAACTCAAGAAGAACTGATGACAGAGAAATAAATTCCTTGAATTATAAATCTATAAAAGTGAACTTAGCTCTTTTCCAATCTTTATAATTACTAAAAAATTGAAAATATTTCTAATCTTCGAAATCAGTTTTACGTTATTTATTCATATTAACTTTACTGATATTTCTGAATTATTGGAATAAACGTGAAACCAAAATTTATTAAATTAGTTACTAGCGCGATCCAGACAAGAGACATGCCAATCTGAAGACAGATTAGCGATAAAATCACAAGTATCTTCTAGACAAAATTAATCGACATTAGCTGCAGTTTATATTATCATAATGGTGAATATATATGAATATTCTTGCATATCCTGAATATTATTCTGTATATATTTTAATATTCTGTGCCTTTTTTG